AATGAATTAAGTGATTTAAAAAAAGAAGATTTTGAATAAATTAAAAAAAGCGGAAATTAATTTCGTAAAATGTAATATTATTGGTTTAATTAGTATTTTAGTTATTGGCGGCTTGGTGTTGTTGAAAAAACGACCAAATAAAAAATCTAAAAAATAAATCCCTAAAATTTCAGCAAGAATGGTTGATAAGGAACAAGAAAAATTAAATGCCTTCCCTAATAATTAAATCTTCCTTTAAATTACTAATAAAACCATCCTAACACAAAATACGGTAAATAATATTAATATATAAGACCGATGTTGTGAAGACCTTACCGTCTGCGAAAAAATTGACAGTTCCAAGAAATAATTATGAAAGGACAAAAAATAGTCAATCCTAGTTTTGTTGTCTTTTCAGTAGCAAATAATTTTAATAATTGCCAATTTGGCATTAGCACTCCGAAAAAATTAATCAAAAAGGCAGTTGACCGCAATCGTTTTAAAAGACAAGTAAGGGATATGTTAATCTCATATTTAAAAAAAAACAGTGATAGTTGCCAAATAAGCGATAATCATTTACATTGTAATTTTGTCATCATTATTCGCTATCCCTACTTAGAAAATGATTTCCAAGTTAACCAAAAAAATCTCTACAAATTACTACTTTCTGCTTCCCAAGGGAAATCCAATTCTCTGCCAAAAAAAGAATTAGTTAAATAGTAATTCTTATATCGGGATAGAAAAGAAAAATCTGTAATCACACAGTATTAACAAAGGTTCAAGCGAAATTAATCCGCATTAGCAAAATATTATTGACTTAAATAATAAATATATATGTCAACTATAAAACTTCATTCTAAAAGAGCACTAGTTAAGCGCTTTAAAACTCTCTCTAAAGGTAAATTAAAACATTGGCGAGCGTATACTTCCCACCTCGCTTATAGCAAATCTACCAAGCAAAAAAGACATTTACGAAAAAGTTCCTTATTAGGAAACAGTGATTGAAAAAGATTAAAAAAAATGGTTATTTATTAAAATTTAAGCATGAGAAGCGGCGAAAAAGAAGAACCTCCTAAAGTGGTGGCAGCGGTAATATTTGATAAAAAAGGCCGCGTTCTGGTCTCTCAAAGAGCACTAAACAGCAAATTATATCCGGGAAAATGACAAGTTCCAGGTGGGAAAGTCGAAAAAGGAGAAAATCATTTAGAAGCTCTAAAACGAGAAGTAAAAGAAGAAACTGACCTAGAAATTGTATCAATAAACAATGTGTTAATTAGGTGGTTTGAGGTAGCAATTTATCAAGTAGAAGTAGTTGGAGAAGCAAAAGCCATGGAACCAACCAAAATAAATACTAAATGAGAATATATGGAAATAGAAGAGTTAAGAAAAAAAGATACGACGCCCACCCTATCTGAACTATTAAAAAGACCAATAAAATTATAAACTAAAATGCCTGAATTACCCGAAGTTGAAACTGTCCGACAAATTTTAATCAGCAGTGGAATAACTAATCAAACTATCCAAAAAGTAGAAGTTTACAACAGTAAATTAATTAAGGAGACATCCGAAAAAGAGTTTATTGATTTATTATTAGGACAAACTATTCATAAATTAGAAAGAAAAGGCAAATGACTATTTTTTATTTTGGATACTCATGTTTTAATTAGCCATTTAGGAATGACCGGAAAATATTTTGTAAATGAAAGTTTGCTTACTCCGGAGCAAAAAGATTCAACCAGTTTAATTTTCCAACTTGGCAACGGACAAAAACTGATTTATTGTGATGCTCGCCGATTTGGGAGTTTTCGTTTACAATCTTTGACCGATTATCAACAATTAAAGCCTTACAAAGATATTGGAATTGATTTACTAAATGAGTCAGTGGATGCTAAATACTTATTCACTCATTACCAAAAACGAAAAATTTCCATTAAAATTGCTTTGTTAGAGCAAGATATTATTAGTGGAATTGGTAATATTTATGCTTCAGAAGTGCTTTTTGATACTAAAATCCATCCTCTAAAAAAAACTCATGAACTTACTTATTCAGAAGTAGAAAAAATAATTTCTTCGGCTCAGTCTATTTTAAAAGAAGCCTTAAAATTAGGAGGAACTTCGGCTTTTGATTTCATTAACCCCTTGGCTAAAAAAGGGGATTATCAAACCAAATTAAAAGTTTACGCACGGACTAAAAAGCCTTGTTATGTTTGTAATACTTTAATTGAAGGCAAAGAAATTAACGGCCGAGGAACCTTTTATTGTCCGCAGTGCCAAAAATTAGAGTTGTAAAATTACTTTCTTTTATTTTTTTCAAAATACGGATAAAGACAATCCCACCCAGCGCGGGCGGCATCACAACTAAGAGAGTTATCCAAAACTTTTGCTAATCAGTTAACTCTGTTATTAGGCTTTTTTAATTTTTATCGATACTTTTTAGGTGGTTCATTCAAAGCAAAAACATCCTTCATCTCTAGTCAGTTTTTCAGTAAAGTTTTTTAAAACATTAGATATAGGTTAATTTCTACGATAGAGATTACTTATATAAGTTGATAAAGTTTTAACCAATATAAATAAGGAAAGGTCATTTCTTTCTAAATTTCGCGGATGATGGTTATCTAGTCTCCTAACTTATTGTGGTGAAGTTAGAGTAATAGTTTGATTACGCTAAGACTATGAAAGATTTAGATAGTTCAGTTGGCTAATTCTGAAAAAGTTAGCAAGTAAAAGAGTTGATAAACAGAAGCAAAGTGCTTTAAAAAAATCAGCAAAAATACAAATTCAAAGATAAAAATAAATTAAAATAATAAGAAAAATGGAAAATTACGGAACAATTACAAAAATAGACAGACATTGAGGAGGTTTTACGATGAAAATTACATTGGATAGAAAGATAAGTTTTTTACACCTCGGAAGCCTCACGGAAACAGATTCCTTTTTGTGTTGAAATGCTCACTTTGGTGAGTGTCAGGAAGGCGATCAAATAGAGCTCAATCAATCAGCAGAACTTGTTAGCATCAAAAGACAAGGACAAGAGATTTCAATTAATAAGGGCAGTAAAGCATATTTTTCAATTGAGGGCATGACGCATTTTATTAAATATAATATCGGTATGACAAATAATAGTGAATCCTCATCTGGGAGTAATAAGTTAGAAGTGTCCGCAAATAAATCTGTTGTTAAGCGACCCCAAAAAAATAATAACGGTGTTGCAGTCAGCAAAATCTTGGGCATTTTAGGAATAATTAGTGTGGCAATGATCGCTAGTGAATTAGTAACAAAAAAGGTCTTAAAAAAGAAGGTTAAAAAATAAGTTTTCAGAGTTCAGAGAAAAAGGATTATAAAATAAAGGGGAGCCTAGCTGCTCCCCCAATAATTGAATTTTTCAATTGAATTATTAGCCAGTAGTCTTTCATTTCCTTTCTCATTCCTAATATTCAGGAGAATTAACTATCATTTAATAATGTTCCCCCGTACATTCTTTATGTTTTTGTTCCAATTCTTCATCATAGTTTCCGTTTTAAGCATTTCGTTTTCACAACCATTTTTACCACGTTTAAACTGCTTCTATGTAAAATATAATCTTCAACACTTGGAAATATTTCTTTCTTATAAAGAAAGTTAAATAGGGACAATTTTTAAAACTAGCAGATCTGAAATTTGACTAATAAACTTTAAAATACCTTTATGCCTGAATTTAAAAAAAAATCTTTTTCCTTGTACCCTTGACTATTCAAAAAACTTCGTAAGGAATTAATTATCTGATACTTTTTTACTTTTCTTTCATCCTTTTTTTATTATCAAGCAGTTTTTGGACTAAAAAAATGAGGTTATGAAAAAACAGCCTTTCCAACTTCATTATTTTTTAAAACCATTACTATCAAAACCCGCGGAGGCCTGCTGTTGTACACGTTTTTCTGTTTTTTTATTGGTAGTTTGCTAACTAGTCTGATCTGTGACTATTGAAAAAATTATACTTTGGAACTGTGCCGCAAAAAGTTACGAAAACTAATAATTAGTAGAAGTGCAAAAAATCCCCAAAGTACTCGCTTACATCATCAAGAAATATCAAGTAATTTTATTGGAGAATCCGAATTATTTGTACCCCTTTTTATTTCAGTTCCTCAACGGATATATGCGGCCATTGTTAACATTATTCTAACTCTTATTTTTGTGGCTAAATTTGGAGAGGATAATTCTCCAGTTCGTGCCTTTGCCATCTTTTTTGTCATAATTGTTTCCCTAATCATCGCTTTTTTAAGTTTTTTTGCTTATCAAGTTCAAAAGAAAATTAACCAACAGCAAAATCACTTTCGTCAACAGGAAAACTTCGCCATGGAAAAATATTTAGAAGGAAAAACCGGACCGCAAAAAGTGGAAAAGTTAATTAATTCTAACTTTCAAAAAACTCGTCCTTCTCTGAAAAACAAAACCCTCTCTTATCTGCCTAATTTGATTATTCCTGGACTGAGCATCCTCTTTTGCCTTATTTACGTCATGAACTATGGAACCGGCTGGGAGATTAAAAACTTTGTAGAAGTCTTTGCAATTGCCGGCTCGATCCAAACCATATTTTGAAAAGCTAGAGAAATCACTGATAATTCATTAGAAATCAGTAAAATTAAGGTTCACCATAAATCTTTACAAAAAATATTAAGCAAATTACAAAAAAGTAGTAAAAAGGAATAGTTAAATCTGGCCAATTTTTAGTTGAGAAATAGTTTGATAATTAATCATTTTTCACCAAATTTTACTTTTTTACTTTTTTAAGCATTAAAAGTCTACTAATAACAGGTAATTTACAATAGATAATAAATGCTTGTTCGCCTACTTTTAAGTGCTAAAATATTTCATTATGAAAGGTACTACACAGCAGCGCCGAAAAGGGCAAACAGAAAAAACAACGAAAAATGAACACAACAGTTTACTAGGGACACAAAAAGAGGCAGATAACAGAGAGAGAGAGAGAGAGAGCAAAAAGTTTTTAGAAAGACCAAAACCGGCTTCGCGAGGGAAAGAAAAGACCCTCCCACCACAGAAATTATTAGAGAATAATTTTTCTGAACTCAGAATTAAGCTTGCTAAACTAGTTAACCGAAATGCTGTCGGAACCGATACCCTTGATGACGACCTTTGCGAAGTGGTTAACACAATTAATAATTTCCAAACCATTTTCACCAACTTAGAAAAGGAGAAAGATTTAGAAAAAGAGGAAGAAGTAAACGCGGAAAAAGAGAAATGATTAGAATTTACCGATAAAAATCAAATTGCCGATCGAACACGCAGACTTCTTACAACTATTAATGAACAAGCCAAAAAAATCGAGAGATACGAAGCAGAACTTTCAATTTATGAATCACAGGAAAGTCAATTGCTTTCTGAATTAACCCAAATTAGACAAGAAAAGATAAAACTGGGGAAAAAACTGACGGAGAAAGAAAGGGAACTAAAAAGCCAAACAGGGAAATTGAAAAATGAAAACACAAAACCGGAAGTTGAACAGTTAGAAAAAGAACTAAAAGCACTTAAAGAAAAAAAAGACGAATTAAATGAAGAAAATATTAGATTAACTTCGGAAAAGAATATACTAGACCAGGAAAATTTAGGACTAAGAAACGAAAATGAAACATTAATTATAGAAAAAGGACAATTGATTGCCGAGAACGAAGGACTACAGACAGAAATAGGGATTCTTGTTGAAAAAACCAAACAAGAATTTGAAGAGATTAGAATTATTTATGGAAATCAATTAGCAACTGAATTAGAAAAGCAAAGAGAAGGTTATGAAAAGAAATTACAAGTCAAAGATGAAGAATTGGAGGTATTATCAGGAAGAGTTAGCGAATTTGAAAGTCCAGAATTTGCTGAATGGCAGCAATTAATTCAGCCCTTCCAAACAACTAACCAAGAACAAATTAGAGAATTGGAACTGAAGATTGAAAAATTGAATGATATTGCTAGGAAACAACGAGAAAGTTTAGATAGCCAACAGACAACAATTGAAGAACAAAACACCGAAATTCAAGAACTGAATAAAGAAAACGAGGAGTTAGACAAGCGAAGTCGTTCTTTGACCGCAAAGGTTGAGGAATTAGAAAAAAAATTGACAATTAAGGAAATTGGGGATGAACTTAACCAAATGATAGATAAAAACCGAACTGACCAGGCGGAGGCTATCAATGACCATGAAACTAAAATTGAAGAAGGCGAGAAACGAATGAACGACATGGGAATTGACATTGACGCCCCGGTTTCCCCTCCTCCTACCCTTCCTGTCTCTGAAAGATTTACTGGCATTGAAGCACATTCGGAACTTGTTGAAAAAAATTTTATTGAGGAATTACTTAACCAGGAAGAAAATAGTAATGAGGAAAAGGAAAATAAACTTACTGGATTGGAATTCGTTAAAGAAACATGGCCCTTTGGACTTCCTTGACACGTAAAACTCTGGGGTCAATACGGGGAAGAAGTGATTAGTAATATTAACCGATTAAAGGAGGAATTAGAGAAAATTGCTGACGACACCACAAGTCAAAATCCCGAAACTGATGAAAGAGAATTAGTTGCTGAGGAAAATAGTCAATCGGAAGTTGCCGTGGGCACTTATCCCGAGGAAGTGGAAAAAATTGCTTCGGGGGTTCCTGTTGAAGAAATGAAAAAATTATTAAAGGAGTATGAAGAAAAATCTAAACAAGAAATGGATGAACTGAGAAGAGTGATAGAGGAACAAGACAAGGAACTAAAAAGAAGAAGAGAACAAAAAACTGATCAATCTTCCCAACAAAACGAGGAAAGTAAAGAAAATAACGAAGAAGACCACGCAGGAAAATTAATTAAAAATGCCGAAGAAGCGCTATCGCAGGCAAGAAGAAGTTTAGCAAGTACTCCTGTTGAGGAATTAAATGGGTTTAATTTTCCTTCCGTTGCTGGTAATGAGGGAAATAATCATTCTTGTCCGAAATGTGGGGCAAATTCTAATCCAGAAGCCAATTCAGACAAATCAAAAAGAAGCCATTCAAGGAGCAGCAGCCGCAATTCTTTCCGCCGCAGCGGCAGTTTCGATGTTAGCGAAAGTTTTCAAAAAATTGCCCAACTCAAAGAACAGTTAAAAGCGCAGGAAAATGAAGTGGTAAGTCTGAATACTAGATGCGCAGCACTAGAAGGAGAAAAAATCCGTTTAGAAGAAGAATTAGAAAGAGTAAATGATAACCGTTCGACAAAAGCCCATCACAGCCGTGAAACTAGCAATGACACTGACATTTCTGGAACGCTTGAACCTAACGATTTTAATCCTGATGATAAGGATAGAAAGATAGTTGATTTACAGAGCGAGTTAGAGGAAATAAAAAGAGAATTGGCACTCTCTAAATCAGGAGAACACAATTGTTCAAATAAATGCTGTATCAATGGTGATTATGAAGACATTAAAAGAAAAAATTCTGACTTAAAAAGTCAAAATATTAGTTTAGAGGCTTTGCTAAATGAACAGAGTCCAACGGGCTCAATGAAGAAAGAAAGAAGCGATATTTTTCCTGAACCAGATTGATTTAAAGACCAAAAGTGATTAACCGATAAAGAAATTGATTGAGCCCTGGCCCAATTACCAATTTCTGCTAACCATAAAATAATCCCCGCTTATCAATTTAGTTATGCACGAGAAGCCGGCAAGAAAGCAGAAGCCGAAGCCTTTTTGGCCTTCCCTGAATTAATAAATGAAATAAATGACAAAAGCAAAGAATTAGTTTTCATTCCGGTCAATAACCCTGATTTTCACTGGTCTCTCTTGGTTTATGAAACTAACAGTAAGAAATTTTATCATTTTGACAGCAGTTTAAAAGGAGTTAATTATGAGTATGCAAAGCCATTAGTTCAAGATTTATTAAAGCAAATTCACCAGAATAATGAGGTTGATTTAGAACAGTATTTAGTGAAAAAACATGATATCAAACAAGGTAACGGCCATGATTGTGGGGTAGCAGTAATTGCTCTGACTGAAAGAATGATAAAAGAAGGGCTAAATGCCAACTTTTCTGATTTAAATAAAAAGTTTGGACCAGAAAGGATTAAATGACGGAAGAGAGTAGAGGAAGTGTTGGGGATTAAAAACAACAATGATGAGAAACAGGAACAGCCACTAACTTCACCCGAGAAGTCAAGCAAGACCGAGGAAGAATTAGAAAAAGAACTGGCTACGGCCCATGGAAAAATATTGGATTTAGAGATTCAGTTAGCAGCAAGTTTGCGGAACGAGTTGAATGGAGATGAAGGAGAAGATGGATTGAATGAAGCCTTAAATGAAGAAATTGAAGCGAGACAAAAGGCTGAAGACAAAGTGGAAACTCTTGAAACTGAAATCGCTCAGTTGAAAGCAGATTTGGCAAAAACTCAAAAGCCTCAACAAACTGCCCCAAAACCAAAAAATCAGCCTAAAAAAAACAATGCTAAACCCACAAAGTCTCCGGCTGATTTAAAACAACAATCAGACAATAAAAACCAAGAACTAACTGAAGCAAAAATCAAAGCAAAAGAACTGGGAGATAAAGTAAAGAAACTAGAAAAACGCCCTGATATTAGTCAAAAAGGTTATAATAAATTAGTAAGTGATAAGAATAAGGCAGACAACGCATTGGAAAGAGTTAAAAAACAATTAGAAGACGTTAAGAAAAATAGGGCTGATATTGGAAAGACATTGAAAGAAGTAAGGAAAGAAAAAGCAGAAGTTGAAAAGAATAAAAAAACATTAGACGCGCAACTCGCAAAAAAAGATGCTGACTTAGAAAAATTAAAAAGGAACCTTGAGGTTGAGAAAGAAAAGAGTAAAAAAAATCAAGAACTTAATAAAAATTCAGCAACTAATACTCCAAAAACTAGAACTAATCAGCCAGCCAAAAGAGGTCAAAATAGTGAAACAACTAGGTCGGCCGGTTCACTAGGCCAAAAGAAAAGTCCAACCCAACAAATTAAGGAATTAAACAATCAATTGTCAACTATTCAGCAAGAACGCGATGCTGCTCAGGCCGCCCAGACTCAGGCTGAAAATGAAAGAGACGCCCGTCCCACTGCAGCCGAATTAGCAGATTTAAAAAGCCAAAAGGACGGACTGGCTAAACAGTTAACTGAAACACAACAAAGAAACAAAGAATTAGAAGCAGAAAGCAAGTCCGCTGAAGCATTACAAGACACTATCAAGGAATTAACCGCCAAAATCCAAGAGTTAGAAAGTCATAGCAAAAAGGGAACAATTCTCGAAAGAAAACAATTGCAAGACACAGTAGCAAGATTGCAACTAAAAATAGTAAATCTAAAAGGGGAATTGGCAGAAGTGAAGCAAAACCTAGACATCGCCCAAACTACAACTCAAACCCACTGAGAAGCATTAGGAAAAGGAGAAGAATACAGCACAAGGCAAGGAAAAGAAATTAGGACATTGCAAAACCAAAACCGTGAATATCAAACCCAAATAAGTAACCTCCAAAATAAATTAACGAGAATTCAAATTACTCAGCAACAAGTCCAAAATAAATTCCGCCAATCAGCAATTAGAAACGGTAGAAAAACCACCGAGGAAATTAATAATCTCAACGAAGATTTATCTATTGACCGCCAATTAAACCAAATAATTAGCGAAGAAAATGAAAATCTTCAAGATAGAAACAATGAATTGGCCGGGCAACTAATTAATGCTAACCAGCAAATCGAGGCACTAAAAAAGGCTGGCGAAGAAGCGTTAAATTTACTTTCTGAGAAAGAAGAACAATTAAAAAAAATCCAGGCCCAAACAGAAAAAACAAAACAGAACCAGCAAAAACCAACAAAAACTTCCTCCTGAAAATCAACTATTGCCAAAATAGGAATTGGTTACTTAGCGGCCTGAGGAAGCCACGGTACCCATTATTGAAACCAAGGAAAAATCAATGGAGCGAATAACTCGACTTTATCTCCTCTCAACTATACTATCGATGTTTCTGACTGACCAAATTTTACCCAAAATATTTATCAAAATATTCCTTTCAATAAAAATGAAAACGATTTGCTCCAACAATTAACATTTAACAATGACTTAAATAAAGAATTAACTGATATTAAATCATTTGTCGGACAATTAGAAGATAAAGGATTGGTGGAAAATCCAGATTTAGCCAATCAGAGAGGAGTTAAAATATTCAATCTGACTAATAAATTGGCTGAAAAGCGAAGAGAAATTAGTGACTTACAAGCCCAAATCGAACAACAAAAATCAGAAAAAGGCTTAACGGTTCATGGCAGTGGTGTTAATGACTTAATAGAAAAAATAACTGAACTAGAAAAAGAAAGAATAAAATCACAGAAAAAAAGCCAGCAGTCAAGAGATGAATTAGAAAAAACTAAAAATGCTTATCAAGACTTAGAAAAGGAAAAAAATGAATGAAAAACCAAATATGAAAAGGCCGAATTAAAACCCGCTAACTTACCAGATAACTGAGAGACTAAGTTAAAAAGAATACCGATGCTGGAAGCCAATCAGAAACCAGAGGACTATGATAAAATTAAAAGTGATTTAGAGGAATGAAATAAGACTTTTGATAACAAAAATCCGAGTGAAATTACCAAACAAATAACCGAATTAGCCAAAAGACCTGAGATAAATATTACCAAAAGCGACTGAGAAAATGACTATAGCCAACGCCCTTCTCTTTCTGAATACCAGGAATTAATTAATAAAAAAAACCAACTGGAGACTAATTTGGCCGACTGAACTAGCCAGTTTCCTAATAGCACGGCCCAAGAAGCAAAAATTGCCCACCAGCAACTAGAAGACCAATTAAAAACTTGAACTGATATTTTTTCTGATGATGCAGCCACAACCAAAACTAGATTAGACCAAGCCGAAAAAGACCGCGATGCTTACTTAGCCGAATTAACTAAAGAACAAGAAAAATCAAAAAATCTTATTGACCCTAAAGACTTGGAGCAAAAAGCCAAAGAAGCAGGTTGAAAATATCGTCAAGAGGATTTAGACCAAGCCATAAAAAATGTAAGAGATGAGTATAATGGATTAGTTGATCCAAAAAATTACCAAGGTTGAATCAACCCCCAAAACATTACGGACAATGACCAAGACACTTTAAAAAGAGTTGGTTATGTTCCTGCCACTGATTATCAGGGATGAATCAACCCTAATAATGAACAAGCCCGTCAACAAGCCGGATTAAAAACAGAAAATGAAGTAAATACTCAGTTAGATAAAATAGCCCAACAATTAGGTTTAGGTAATCATAATAATTTAACGAATGATAACCTAACTAATCTTCAAGGGGCAGAAAAAGAAAGAAATCAAGGTCGGCAAAATTTACGGACTGATAACTTAACTACCCTTCCGCAAATACCTGAAGGTGAAACACTCCAAACTTTACTAGAACGACCAACTCAACAAGAAAAAGAAGAAGCGGTTAACAATGCCCGTCAACAAGAGGCTAATAAATATAATGGTTATATTGACCCGACTGATAAAAACCAATTAAAGCCAGAGGCTGAAAAGGCTGGTTTTGGTTTTACTCAACAAGATATTGATAATGCTGTAAAAAAGGAGAAAGACAAATGAGAAGGATGAATTAATCCCCAGGACTTGGAAGCCGAAGCCAAAAAGATTGGCTTAGAATATCGCCAAACCGACTTAGATAAGGCAATCAAGGATACCGAGGACCAATATGAAGGATGAGTTGATCCTAATACTTACCGGAAAGACTGGATTGATCCTGCTGAGTACAAAAAAATAGAAACAGCACTCACTAATGCTAATGATACCATTGTCGCAGCCCAAAACCAGTTAGGAGTAGGAGACTTAACTAAATTACCAGACTTGAAAGGAAAAAGTTTGGAGCAGTTATTGACGGATAATGAGAAATTGCTAAAAGCCCAGCAGCAATTAACAGAAAAAAATAATAGTTTAAACCTAAACTTGAATAATGCGAATGAGCAAGTAAAAAATTACCAAGACGGATTGAAGGCATTGGGTATTACTAATTTAAATAATTGATTCCAACAAGTTCAGGATTGAAAAAATGCAGCGGCAGGGTTAGGGGATTTAGAAAATAGATTAAAAAAACGGTTAGGTCTTAATGATACTAACCTCGCTACTTGAGAAACTGAGATTATTGAACTTCAAAATCGCTTAACTCAAGAACAAATAGATAATAAATACCAAGGATGAAAATCTCCTGATGATATTGCTAAATTAGAAAAAGAATGAAAAAATAAACTAGAAATTGAAGAGAGAGCCAAAAAATCAGAAAAGGAGAAAAAAGAAAGAAGAGAACAGAAAATTATTCGACAAATTGCTACTATTCGTGAACTCAAATCCTTCCTGAGTGAAAAAGACCAGCAAATCGAACAATTGGAGTGAGAAAGAGACTCGCGACCTAATATTAGCCGCGAACAATATAAAAATTTAGTGCGTCAAAGCGGGCAATTAAAGCAATTCCAGAATGATTTAGAAAAACTCCAAAATCAACTACTTCAAGAGAAAGAGGGGCGAGAACTAGAAAAGAAAATTCGAGAAGGTTATCAAAGCATCATCACCTCCTTAAATGATAAACTAGCAGATAAAGATAACAAGTTAAAAGAGGTTAAATTAGCCCAAGAAAAAATAAGAGAAGAAAATAATGAATTAATTCAAAAAAATGAGTCATTACTTGACATGAAAAATAACTTAGAAGACCAGTTGGAACAAGAAATAATTGAAAAAACTTCCCTCATGCAGGAAAAAGAAGTGCTAACTACAGAAAAACAAGAAATAGAAGCAAAACTTAACCAAGAGTTAGAAAAAGTTTTAAGCGAATTAGAAAAAAAGACTCAAAATAATCAGCAAATTAAAGCAGAAATAAACAAACTTAAAAAAACTAAGAAAACTACAATTAGGGAAGGAGTTGAAGATACCCTAACCTTTTTACTTGGACTCTACTCATTGAATAAAAAGTGAGAGACTAAAGATCAAGAAAAAGAGATTAAGGAATTGAAAGAGGAAATTGAAAAAGAAAAAACAAGCCACCAAAATAAACAAAAGAAATACGAAGAAAACCTCAATAATTTAAAGGATGAATTAGACAAAGAAAAAGAGGCCCACCAAGGCACTAAAGATAGTCTGACAAAGATTGAACAACAAATAATTGAAGAGCTAAATAATACCTTAAAACTTGATTTACAAAATCCAACCTTGAAACAAGTAATAACTCGCATTCGAGAATTAATCAACAAGGACCCACTGAATGACGAAAATGTTAAAAAAGAATTAGCCGCCGCACAAGCAACTATCATTCAATTACAAAAACAATTGGCGGAAAGACCCGACACTCCTTTTGGTGAAGATTTAGCAGTTATTAAAGAGACTGATTTACAAAGTTTAGAACAATTATTCCCTAATCAGTTAGATAATCATTTCCGAGAGCAAATTAGACAAGCCACTAATTATCAGCAACTAGCCACTGCTCGGCAAAACTTTATTCAAAAACATATTTCAAAAAATTCTGGCAACCAGCAAGTAGTTACTCAGCCTCACTTGCCAGCCATTCAGCAACCACCTAAAGAAAGAATAATCTGAATAACTTTATTGGCTGCTAGTTTATTGACGATTGGAGGATTATTAACAAAATTAAGGAGAAAGAAAAAATAAGTAAAAAAAGTTAAGTCGAGACTTAAACTACAACAAGGATTATTCCTAGCAAAGAGATAAGAAAGAAAGCGAGCGAAACAAAAAAAATTCGCCAAAAACGAGGAACAAAACGACGTCCGAATTTTTGTCTGCGATTTCCATATTTTTTAAGAACAAAATAAGAAAAAATAAGGATGAGTAATGAAACAATCAACGACTTAGTAAATAAAAGAATTAATCGTTTACTTGCCATAATAAAAAGTTTTAGAAGTCTCCTCGGCAGATAGGGCAATTATCATATTACTTCTTCTTTTTCTTCTCAAACTGACGAATGATAAGGCGAACAATAAAATAAATAAGAAGATACAAGACAAGGAAAAATAAAAAAGAAATGAGGAAAGAAAGGCGATGTAAATTAAATCCAAAAAATTTTCCAAAAGAAGTTCTTGCTAATCAATTATCAACAAAAAAACGAGAAAACAAAACTAAAAGCAAGTAAAGAAAAAACAATTAAAAAATCAACAACAGACATAATAAAATTGGCAATTATGTATAATTTTACACCAGATCTAATGAAAACATGAAAGAAAAACCAATAACTGCTAAAAAAATAGTAATGGCAGTTTTAACTCTTTATTATGCCTAAAAATTAATTAACACTAAAAAATTTTAGCGGTAGAAAGTCAAAAAATGGCAAAAAAAAGTTTAGATTTTGAGTTAAGGTTATGAAAGGATTATCCAATAATCGCCGGAGTTGATGAAGCCGGGCGAGGAGCCTTAGCCGGACCAATAATAGTGGCAGCCGTCGTCTTACCAGTTGGTTTTCAAAATCCCCTAATTCAAGATTCAAAAATACTTAGTCCCAGCCAAAGAAAAAAAGCCTTTCGAATAGTCAAAAAAGAAGCCTTAGAATACAATGTAATTGCTAAAAGTGCTCGGGAGGTGGAAATTAAAAATCCTCTTGGTGCGACCAAAGAGGCCATGTCAGAAGCCATTTTAAACTTAAAAAATAAACCTGATTTATGCTTAGTTGATGGAAAAGAAAAAATAGTAGTAGAAAAAACTAAAACCGTAAGCATCATTGGTGGAGATCGTCGCTCTATCAACATTGCTGCCGCTTCCATTATTGCCAAAGTAACCCGTGATACAATTATGCAAAAACTGCACAAAAAATACCCTCTCTATGACTGATTTGGTAATAAAGGTTACCCCAATGGCACCCATTTAAGTGCTATCTTTCAGCATGGGATATGCGATTTACATCGCAAAACTTATGAACCCATAAAGAGTTTACTAAAACCTGATTGTGATAAAAAAAAACTTAAAGAAAAATATAAAATGTTTGGTTAAGACTTAATTTCCTCTAATGGCTAGGATTATTCAATAGATACCAAAACCCAAGGTAAATAAGATATACACCACCGACAAAATGAGACTAAAAAGTGCTCAATTCTGATGACCATTTTTTGTTAATATTTCGTTCATTTTGCTATAATTAAGAATGGCAAAAAAGCAGGTGGCAAGAGGATATATGTAAGCTTTCAAAAATGTTCCTAAACTTATTAATTTTCCTTCTATTCGTTTAATTCAATTTGGCATAATATAATTTTATAATTTTGGTGAAAATAAGTTTTCTTTAATTAAACATTGTCAGATTTCTAATATTTTCACAAATTAAAGAGTTAATTTTTCCTCGTTTTACTCCAATTTTTAAAGTAAATAATAATTCATTGTGAATTACCAAATTTTCTTTATTTTCTCAGTAAAACTCTGAACTTATATTCAGTTTAAAAGAATTTCTAATATCTTGTAGTCAAAGGACGTAGGAATTTTCATCTTTCTTTTCTAACTGATAAATAACCGCATAGACATTTAGGGAGTTTTCCTTGTTCTCATATTCTTCAAGTTTTTGAAAGACTATTAAAAAAGAACAAATTTTATAATCTTTTTGGGTGAGTTCTTTTCAATGAGAGAAATAACTGATATATAACCCTAAACTTTCAAACTCTCTTTGATTAATTATTGCTTTGTTAGCTTCTATTTTGTTGGTTGGCAAATCTAAAAATGGTAGTAAATTATTGTTAATTGGAGCAAGTTTTTTTCTTATTGACAGGTAACGAAAAATTGCTTCCTGGTTATTTAGCAAACTCTCAATATCTATTCCCAGACTCCTAAAAAGACCGCCTTTAACTCATAACTCAAAAGAATTACTTTCTATTTTTTCTCAATAATTTGCTGTTCGGTCAATCAAATCTTCCCAATTTTTATAAATTCCTCCTTTTTTTCTTTCCTCAATTATCCCTTGAAAGAATTCATTCTTGTAATTTTTTAGACTGCTAAATCCCATCAATAATTCTTTGTCCTTCTTAATTCATTCTATTTCTGAATGATTAATGTCTGGTCCTTTGATTTGAAACCCGTAAAAAAATGCTTCTTGGAGATAGGACAATTCCTTTTCCTTTTTTTCATTCAGCAGGTGAACAATGATTTCTGGAAAGAAATTTGCTTTTAAATAAGCAGCGTAATAAGTCAAATAACCATAAGCTACTGCATGAGATTTATTGAAAGTATAACCAGCAATGGAAGTAACTTGTGCATAAATTAATTCAGCCTCCAAAAAGGTCATTTTTGCTTTTGCCTGAATTAAGAAATCTTTTTCGAGAGGTTTTTTTGGCAAATTCCTCCTTTTAACTTCTGCTTCTGCAAATGAGCAATCATAAACTAACGCAATAACTTGACTTATCTGTTCCTCAAAAATGATAAACCCATAAGTTTCGTTTAAAATTTCCTTAATCTTAGGTGTCACGAACAAACTTTCTTTTTCATTATTTTTTTTTCCTCTAATAAACTCTTTTTTAATACTTGGGGGAATACCAGGGCGGTTCAGAGCTAGGAAAAGATTTAACTCCGAAAAGGATTTCGGGCAAAATGCAAAAAGTAGTTCTCGAGCAGAGATAGTATCCAACTGAAAAACACCAGTTAACAAAAAATTACTAAACGTTTCTCAAGTTTTTTTGTCCTGGAGGTTTATGCTTTGATAATTAGGTAAATTAAGTTTTAGAAATTCCCTTACTTCGCGGATAAAACCAAAATTAATAAAACTAAAAGTCTCCTTTAAACTTAAAAAGTCATATTTTTTTAATCCTAAATAGCCAAGTTTTTCTGCTTCAAAAAGTGCTAATGTAAAACTTTTCTCAGTTTTCAAGGGAACTAAACCTAATAAGGAGTTTTCAGCAATGACAACCCCCGCGGGATGTACTCCAACATTATAATACAAAGTGCTAATTTTCTTAACAAGGGCAAAAAAGGCTGGATAACTAATTTGTCATTTCTGCAACTTTAAATTATTGAAATCAGGATTTTTCCCCGCTGTCGAGATAATCTCTTTTAGGACCAATCCTTCAATTCTAAAAATCTTTCCAGCCTCCCTTAAAGAAGTTTTTCAACCAATTTTTTCCCTAGTAATAATGCGGGCGGCCTGATTTTTTGGATATTTCTGTCACAAGTAATTGAATACTTCTTCCTGGTCCTCGACATCTAGGTCAATATCGGGAAGAGTTTTTCTTTTCTCATTTAAAAACCTTTCAAAAAATAGTTTATGTTGTAAAGGATCAACACTGGTTATTCCTAAGAGGTAAACAACCAATGAAGAAACAGCACTTCCTCGCCCTGGCCCCACGATAATCCCTTCTTCTTTTAAATGATTTGCTACCTCGCTAAATATTAAAAAATAGTCGGCATAATTAAGTTTCTCGATAACAACCAATTCTTTTTCGAGGGTTTTCTGATAGGTTTCCTCATTTTCTTTTTTTAAAGCTATCAATTTTTGTCAACATTTACTTTTTAATTGTTGTCTCCTTAGCAGGAGAGAATTTTGCTTTTTAGTTTCATTCACTTTTTCCCCATGAAAGGAAGGACTAAGTTTGATTTTGGCGAAGAAAGTTTTTCATTGAATAAGTAATAATTGATAAAAGTCTTTGTCGTCAGTGCAATGAGAAAAGTAATCATGAGTATTTAAGTAAGAAAGAAATTCGCCGCTGGTGTCAGCAGGAAAAAAATAGCGGTTAAAACTAGTTTTTTTTCATAGGAATAATAATTTTGTTTCTTCGGGAGTTAAACATTTTATTGAAAAAAAAGGAAGAAGTAAAGAAATAATATTTGGTGGGACAGATTGGGCGGGAGAAAGGAGAAAAAAATTAAATCCGATAAAAAGATTTTCGTAATTAACTTCTTTCTGAGGAAAACGAGTTAAGATTCATTGAGAAGCAAAATATTTAATTTCTTCTAATCTTTGGGCTTCGAAGATAATCAAGCAATTTTTACTTAGACCAGAAAGAATGTAGCCAAGGGAAAAAATTCGGTCATTGGAAGCATCCGGAGAAAATAGTTTTTGAAGAGTTTCTTTATAACCTTTATTATTTTGGGGATAAATGGTGGCAGAATATTTTTTCCCTTCAGGTTTTTCTTGCAAAAAGATTTTTACTCCCCAAATTGGTTTAATTTTTTTGGTTTTACAAGCCTGAAAAAAATCAGTAATTTCATAAGGATAATAATCAGCAATAGCCAAATAATTTAGTTTGTTCTCACTGGCTCAGTCAACTAGTTGAGGAATTGTCAAAAAAGAAAAAGAGAGATTAGAATTAGTTTGGGTGTTAAGATGTGGGAGCAAAATTTTTTCCATACTAGTTAATTAGTTTTTTGGAAATTATTGTAAAGACAAAAAAAATGATTACCAATTTATAACAGTGAAATATAAGGCAATTAGAAAGTATATTATTGAAACTATTAATCAGCATCAACCCATAAAAGTGAACCTTTGTTCAGAATTAATGACAAAAAAATAATTAAAAAAAGCATAAAGACAAGGAGACAGCAAATAAAATTTAGTTATCATTTTTTTTATTAGTTCAAACATTTTCATATTTTTATTTTCGAGAAACAAAAGGATTATCTTTAATATAAAATCTTCACAGGCGGTCTTTGTCATCTCCCGCATAATCAATATTTACTCTTTTGGTAATAATAATTTCCTCTTGGCTAAGTTCGGGCTGGTCTTCTAAGTAAATTAAATCACTAGTGGTTAAGTCAACATGGTTGAGACTGATATCAATATTAAGTGCTCGGCATAATTTTCCTGGTCCGTTAGTGTAATAGTGAATTTTTTTTCTTTCGTCTTGGTGGGAACTGACTGGAATAGTATGACTTTCCAGAGGTTCAGCAGCACGAATCAGTACCCCTTGCGGGTCGCCAGCCACAGAAGAGGCGATATTGAAACAGTAATAAGTATTATAAATAAGGTAAATGTAAGCACAGCCACCACGATTATTTAAGGCGGCAGATTTTCATCTTGATTTATTTTCTAAGTGAGCATGACAGGCTCGGTCAATTTTTCCGATATAGGCTTCGGTTTCGACGATTTTAACTTTGATGGTTTTGCCATTAATGTCCCGAACCAGTATCTTACCAAGCAATTTAGGAGCCAACTTATCAGCACTAACCATGAAAAAAATGGGATCGGTAATGCGCATAATAGTCTATACTAGATTTTTATTAATAATCCCTAACAAGTAAAAAGTTTTGAGCAGCACTTTCTCACTCCTTGTGCTAATTAACAAATTTGTCTAACTCGTCTAATTTAGTAATCTTTTTAAAAGCCTCAAACTTGTCTTTTAATATCTCTTTAAAGGGCTTTTGTGTGTCGTCTACAAAATATTCCAAAAACCTTTTTATACTTAATGGAAAAGCATAACACTCTCCAAGATCAACAATATCATTATGAACCAAGCATTTGAAATATAAATATGTATCCCTATGAACATAAGGGGCTACTAAAATAGCATAGGTAACTAATTTTGTTTTAGTTTGAAAATCTAGGGCACGTCTGATTATGGCACTAGTTTCACTGTTTTTCTGCCCTACTTTGTCTCTCAACAATGTAGCTTCTACTAATAAATTCATCTCATTATTGTAATTAATTTCTATGTCACTTTCCTTTGCAGGAGCATGATGAATTGGTAACCCAGTATTATTATCACTTAAAAATCTTGGGTTAACTTTTATATGCTTTTTAAATCTTAAAGCAAATAAAATTGCGAGCAAAACTTCTAATTTTAAAGATTATTCCATTCTAATTCACCAAGATTTTTCCTCTTCACTAACAAATCCCTTTAAAAATGTTTTTCTTATTTCTTTATTGCTATTTTTTTCTAAATGAATTAATTCTTGTTTAGCCTCTTCCATGGCGATTTTATTATCGTTTATGAGGCGTCAAAGTGCATCTTCTTGGTTTTCTCTCCTTATTTTTCATTCTAATTTTATATCCTTCAATAAAAAGTCAGCATATTCATCTTCGTTAGTAAAAAACTTTTTCCATATTTTTTTCTTCGCTAAGAACTCGTTCAATGAACTTTTCAAGTTTTTCACTTTCAATTTTTACTTTTCTTAATTTCTGAAGAAGGGTCAGGCTTTTCTTTTGCTTCATATTCATAATGTTAGATTTTGCTTTTTAACTGCGGAAAGGCAATTACCTCCTTAATACTATTTTGACTGGCGAATAGCATAATTAATCTATCTATCCCAATTCCCAATCCTCCGGCTGGTGGCATGCCATATTCTAGCGCTTCAATAAACTCTTTATCAAAACTAGCAATTTCTTCATTACCTAATTCTTTTTGTTTAGTTTGTTCTTCAAATCTTTTTTTTTGTTCGATAGGGTCATTTAATTCACTATACCCGTTAGCAAATTCTAATCCTCCAATATATAATTCAAATCTATCCGCAATATTTCGGCTATCGATTTTACTCTTTGCTAACGGCGAAACTTCTATCGGATAATCATAAATAAAAGTCGGTTGGATTAATTTTTTTTCCACATGTTCTTCAAAGAAGGCCAAAATAACATGTCCAATACTTTTTTGAAATTTTTCTAATTTTAAGTTATGTTTTTGGGCTAATTCTAAGGCTTCTTCTAAACTATTTATTTTTTTGAAATCTATACTCGTGTATTCTTTGATTGCTTCTTCCATTGACAGTTTACGGAAAGAGTTTTTAAAACCAATGACATGAGAATTAAATTCAACCTCCTCCTTTTTAAGAATTTCTTGGGCTAAATAATGAAATATCTTCTCGGTTAAGCTCATCATATATTCAGCATTTTCATAAGCCTGATAAACTTCAATAGTAGTAAATTCTGGATTATGGCGAGCATCTATCCCCTCATTCCGAAATATGCGGCCAATTTCGTAAACTTTCTCAAATCCACCAACTAGCAATTTTTTTAAGGGTATTTCGGTAGCAATGCGTAAGTAAAAATCTCTATGTAATTTATTGTGATGAGTAATAAAAGGTTTAGCTTGGGCTCCGGAGGCTTCAGAAACCAAAATGGGCGTTTCAATTTCAATAAACTCCTTTTTTTCTAAAAACTGGCGAATATTTTGGATTACTTTATGGCGAGTAATTAAAATATCTCTTTTTTCAGAGTTAATAGTAAAATCCAAATAGCGCTTGCGAAATCTTTCTTCGGTATCATTAAATCCATAATGAATATCGGGAAGAGGCTTTAAACATTTACTTAATAAAGTGAATTCTTTGACTTCTACACTCAATTCTCCTTTATCAGTTTTACAAATAATCCCTTTTATACCAATGATATCACCAATGTCTAATTCAGCAAACTCCTTATTTTTGCTAATTTTTAATTGAATAGTCCCTGTTTGGTCGGCTAAATTAGCAAAAACTAAATTGCCAAAACTCCTTATTCTCAATATTCTTCCCGCAATACTGGCTTTTTGACTTTTTTTCACTAATTCTTCCTTGTTGAATTGAGAAAATAATTGAACAATTTCTCCAACACTATTAGTTCTAATGAATTTGGTTTGCTGAAAAGGGCTTGATGACAAATCGACCAGTTTTTTTCTTCTTAAATCTTCTAAGGACATTTCCATATTAAACTAATTTTTTAACCTTTTTGTCATAAACCAACTTTGTTCAGATTATTAATGAGCAAAGAGAAATAAAAGTAAAAAAGGCAATTAAAAAATTAATGATAAATCACTTTCACTTTCTTTCGGCTATTCATTCAAAAATGAAATAAGGATACTTTTCTAAATGGGGAAATAAACTGCTAGTCTCTCCAACATTAAGTTTGGCCAAAATTCAGACATAAAAAAAGTAAAAAACTGGGGCGATAAAAGAAAACAACAAAGTCTTTATTATTTTTTTTCTTAATTTATCTATCTGAGCATAAAAATAAAAATAAAAAAGGGTTAAAAGCGGAGCAATGAAGTGTCAAGAAAATGACTGACAATTTAACAATAATGATTTTTCTCATCCTACACTCAGGAAAAACAAACAATAGACTCAAAAGGCAAAAGTAATTAAATTATACATTGTGGCTAAAAAAGTAATAAATTGCGAGAAATAGGAAGAAACTTTTTTTCTTTCTCTAAATATCATAACCGCCGCTAAGACAGTTAAAATTGAAGTATGAACCGACCACCAAGAAAAAAAGCGAAGAAGATGATAATGGAAAGGAATGTCAGTTCGAAAAAAGGCCACTATAATTCCCAACAAATGTAAGAAAAAAACGAGAGAAATTAGAACTATTTTTTTTGTTTTTTTAAGCACTAGAGTATAGTTTTATTTTACTCTTAAAAATACTTAATAATACATGCCAAAATCTTTTTACATTACCACACCTATTTTCTACCCGAACGACCGCTTACATTTAGGTCATGCTTACACAATGATAATGACTGATATTATTGCTCGCTATAAAAAAAGTCAAGGTTATCGAGTTTATTTTCAAACTGGAAGCGACGAGCATGGGGAAAAAATTGAGAAAAAAGCCCTTTCTTTGGGCTTAACTCCTCAGCAATTAGTTGATAAAAATGTTTCTCTTTTCCAAAAACTATGAAAAGAATTAAATATTTCTGAACACATTTTTTATCGCACCTCTTCTCCTCACCACAAAGAAAAAGTCCAAAAAATTTTTACTAAACTTTTAGAACAAGGAGACATTTACTTAGGAAAATATAAAGGTAGTTATTGTATTACTTGTGAAGATTATATTAGTGAAGGCAAGATAACCAAGGAAAAAACTTGTCCTTTTTTTCATTCCGAACTTCGTGAGATTGAAGAACCAGCTTATTTTCTCCGCGTAAGCAAATATCGCTCTTGATTAATAGAATATTACACCAAAAATCCGGATTTTCTTTTACCTACTAATGCTAAAAAAGAACTATTTGAAAATTTTTTAAAAAATGACATTCCGGATTTATGTATAACTCGGCAAGATTTGAAGTGAGGTGTTTCGGTTCCTGGTGAGTCAGAAATGGTTATTTATGTTTGATTTGAAGCACTACTTAATTATCTTAATTCCCCAGTTGGAGAATATTTTTTCTTCCCGGAAGCACCTAGCGATAGCAAAGTCAAAGAGTTTGCTTGTGTAGCTGTTGCTAATCAAAAAAATCAGTATCTTTTGGTCTATAATAAAAAAAGAGATAGGTGAGTATTTCCGGGTGGAAAATTGGAGAAGGGAGAAACTCCAGAGACCGCAGCCAAAAGAGAAATATGGGAAGAAACTAATTTAACAATTACGGATTTAGAAAAAATTGGCGAAGAAACTTTTTATGTTAATAATATTTGGTGAAAAGGTTATTTTTATCAAATCCAAAAATATTCTGGCACAATTGAAATCAAAGACCAAGAAAAAGAAACAATAGGAGAAATTAAATTTTTGACAATCCCCGAAATACAACAAATTATCAATCAAAAACCTGACAGGGGAGTGGAATATGTGCTGGAAAAGTTAACCGGCACTAAAAAAGAAAAAAAGTCTTGGGAAATTGTACAAGTAATTGGTAAAGAAATAACTCGTTTTCATGCGATTTACTGACCGATTATTCTAAAACTTTTGGGGGCTCGCTTGCCTAATAAAATACTGGTTCATGGTTGACTAGTAGACCCCGAGGGAGAAAAATCTAGTAAAAGTAAAGGCAATGTTATTGACCCCCTAGAATTATTAAAAAAATATCCTCCTGATTTAATAAGAGCCTATTCTGTAGCGAAAATTAACTTTTTACAAGATGGAATTTGTTCAGAAGAATTGTTAAGAAATTTCTATCAAAGTTTTTTAGTTAACAATTTAAGTAATTTAGTTTCTCGAGTAAATAAAATGATTTACTTATATAATGATGGAATTATCCCTGAATTTGAAAAAAACGAAAAATTAGAAAATTATCACCACGAATGTGAATTAACAATAGAGGAATTTCAAAAAAAAATGAACCAATATGAACTAACTAATGCTTTTTTTCACATTCAAAATCTTCTTGATTACAGCAACAAATTAATCACTGACTTCGCTCCCTGAGAACTTGCCAAAAAAGGCGAGATAACTCTTTTACATTCCACTCTTAATTACTTGTCTAATGGAATAAAAATTATTGCTTTTCTTCTCAACTGTATTATGCCAGAAACAAGCGAAAAGATTTTGGCAACTTTTAATATTGATAGTGAAAAACTTAATTGAGATAATTGTTTAGATTTTAATTTCTTAAATGGAATTAAGATAAAAAAGCTGGAAAGACATTTATATGAGGCTATTAAATAGAGTTATCTTTCAATATTAATATAAAATTTACCTCCAGTAAGTTTTTTTTCTAATTCTGTCCAGTAGTTTATTGCTTCTTTTTCAAATAATTTCTGATAAACTAATGCTTTCCAAAAAGTTTTTTCTTCCTTTGTTTTTAATTTTAATTCGTTTTGTTTGTTAATGTCTTTTATTCTCTCTATTATTTGCTTATCATTAGAAATAACTTCTACACTTTTTTCACTATAATTCATTTTTTCTAAAACCTCAACTGGAAAATAAGTTAATAAATATTCTTCCAAATTGTAATTTTCTTCTTCCTCTAATTCCAATTTTAAACTATAAAATAATTGAAAATAACTCGGTAAAGAAGAAAGTGGCATTTTTTTTAATTTTAATTCTCGGGATTCACCTTCAATATTAGTATTATCGCCCTCGAGGTAAATAAAAATACCAAAGGGGGCTTGATAAAAAGTCCGTTCAGAATGACTTTTCTCCGTTCCACTTTTAATTTTTTCTCAAATCTGATAAACTTTTTCTTTGGGAAATTTATTTTTCCGGGCAATACTCAAAGATTTTTCGTTAACCTCGTGCTCTTCTCGGATAATGTTTTCTATTTTTCTTCGCACTTTCAGAAAAAGTTGACTGCGGGCACTATCTTGCCGGTCTTTACGATGTTTAATGTTGGCTGAGTGAGAATGACCTGCCATAATTATTTTTTATGGAGTTTGCGGCGTTTAATCAGCCAGAAAACTAAAAAGAGAAAAGCGAGAATTAGAACTCCTGCCAGAAAAAAATAAAGAGGCTTTTTGGAGGTTGGAGAAGAATTATTTTGTGTTAATAAATTTTCTTGTAAACTGTCGGGTAAAATGACGAGCGTTTCGCCTTGAAGTGAAGTTGACTTACGAAAATAGGCATTGTTATCAGAACGGAAATTAATTTTCAACTCTTCCTTTTTGCTAATAGCATTAAGAATTAAATCTTGATAATCTTTGTTCTTCTTGCCAAATTCTTCACCTTTTAATTCTATTTGCCTAATTTCTAATCCTTCACGAATTTTAACTGGCTCTATTTTTACTCGAATAAGATTGTCCTTGTTTCAAGTAATTTCCTGGGGCTTTATGGTGAGAGTAGAATGAGGGAAATTGTAAAGTTCCAAATAAATTTTTCCTTCTGCTTTGGGTGGTGAAAAAGAATTCAAACATTTAGAAATAAAAACTAGCCAACAGGAAAGTGATTTTTTTCGTAATGCTCATGGCAAGGGGAGAGCGGGTAACACCTTTCAGTACTATTGAAATTTATGTATTCCTGACGACAGCCAAAACTTTTCCCTGTTTGCTGATAATGATAAACTTACTTTGGGTAATGTAGAAGGAAAAAGCAACGAAGTTTCTAAATCAAAAGTTCGCTCATTATCCCTTTTAGTTCTACCACTCTGTTTAATATTCAGAAAATATTTTAGCATTTAACGCTTGGAGAATCGAGGTCCCTTGCGACTTTTCTTTAAACCAATTTTTTTTCTTTCTACTCGACGAGCATCCCGCGTTAGTAATGAAAAACTTTTCAAAGTCGTTTTATATTCGGGTGAAATTTTTAATAAAGCCCGGGCAATACCTAATCTAATGGCTTCGGCCTGGCTATGAAAGCCACTTCCTTTTACCCGCACAAAAAAGTCATAATCGTTTTCTTTATTAAATAATTTAAGAGGCTGATAAATATTCTCACAGAGGGAAGGTTCCATGTAAAAATAATCTTTAAGATCCTTTTCCTTTCCGTCATTAGTTCGGACTTGGGCTTGTCCTTTTCCTTCTTTTAAATAAACGCGAGCCGTGGCTTCTTTACGACGTCCTACACCAATATAGTAATTATTGCTATTCATTAATTTATTTTTCTTTTTTTCTAATCAAGTAAACAAATATTCCTACTAGAACCACCACACTAGCACCGATGGCAATACCAATAGCAAGTTGGTTGTTGTTTTTATTTTGATTAGGGTTAGCAGAGGTATCACTTTCCTCCTCTAAATTTAAACTTTGGCGAGTGATTTCTTTTTGGTCATGATTTTGGCAATAATTTTTTAAAATATTGTATTTTTTAATATCGCTGTTTGCAAAAGAAGTAGTTTGAGAATTATTAAATTCAATAGTTAATCTGCCATTTTCGAAAGTTATTTTTCTAATCTTTAATTCTTGGAAAATGTTTTTTAATCATTCTAATTCAAGATCATTTGTTGTTGTTTTCTCTTTGTTAATAGGAGATTTCGAACCTTTTAATAATGCTTCAATTTCGGCTCAATCTTGCTCTCCATTTTCAAATACTAGTCCACAAAAAGCAACTTTTCAAACTTTAACTCCATTTTTTTTGTTTTCCAAACACTCAACATTATATTTATCTTTTTTAATTTCCCAATCTGAAATATTTTGTTTAATGCTACTGACTATGGCGTTTCTAATTTCAAACCAACTCTTTTCATTCTCAAGCCTGTCAAAATCTCGTAGATTTATTTCTTCATTGTCAATTTTTATTTGATAAACTCCTTTGCTTTCTTTTTGTTGAGTTCCATATTCATTTTGAGGGTCTCTTAGTAACTCAGCATTAGCCAAATGTCCGGCTTGGTCGAAACTTATTTTATCTAAATTACGAAGTATTTTTTCTTTGATTGTGGAAGAAAGTGGCTTTTTCGGTGTTACTGGTCCATGGGTAATTATTTCGGGTTCTTCTTTGAAAACTCTTATTTCTGGAATATTATCAGCAGAATTGTTTATATCTAATTTTTTATCGCCATTCCTAGCGACCAAAATCTTGGTATTTTCTAAATTACTTCCATTGAAACAATACTTTTTCCCAACTTGTAATTTGGAAGCATATTCATGCATCCCTGCTCCCGTAGTTCCAAAATTAATTATTAATTCATTAATAGTAGGAGCAAAAAAAACATTGCTGTTATTGATTATCTTTCTTTCTTTAATTTTCAGCCTAAGTTTGCAATCTTCTCACTTTCTATAATCCTCGTCTATTTCCGTTAACTCAAAATAGTTAATATAGATACCTTTCCACATGTCTACTCAATGGTTCCCGTCAATAATGAGAGTTTGTCCTTTTATCTCGGCTTTGGCTACTGGCTCACTGAAAGAAATACTTATTTGACCGCTTGACCAAGAATCAGTTTGAGTTGCATCTGGAGCAAATTGTTGGTATTTTTGATAATTTTTTCCTGCGGATTTTTCATTATTGTGCCTGGTTCCATCATTTATTATTTCTATTCGGTTAATTTCTCCTCTTTTTCCATTCCATTCAAAACAAAAAGGTAAAACATCGAAAGAAAAGTTATCATTGTTTGCTATTATGTCTTGTTTTTTTGAACTTATGTAAGTTATAATTCTTGCTTCTGTTCTTGTCATAATGTTAATTATATAATAGATTTATCTATAATTCTATTTTAATAAAATCTTTTTTTTGGGCTTCTAAAATAATTTTATTCCTTCTCATTAGTTTTTCATCAGCAAAAACGAATAACCTTTTTAATTGTTTATCCCCTAATTTAGTATGGGGCATCATCCCTTTGATAATCCGAAAAATTAACTCTTGGGGATACTCCTCTAACATTAAACGGGTGCTTCTTTTTCGTAGTCCACCAGGATAACTTGAATGATTATAATAAAACTCATTATCTAATTTATTATTTCCAGTAAAGTTAATGTGTTTAGCATTCACTAAAACCACATAATCCCCTGAGTCTGAATTAGGCATAAAATCTTTTTTGTTTTTCCCCCGCAATATTTCTACTATTTTAGGGGCAACCCTTCCACCTGTTTTATCTTTTAAATCCAAAAAATATCAGTGGCGGGTAGCAGTCCGCGGTGAGGGAATAGTAGTTTTTTGTAATTGTTCGTTTTCTTTTCGGGTAGCGACCTCCATATATTATTATTTTTTCTTTTTACGAGCCAAGAAGTAAACAAATGTTCCTCCCAAGATAAAGGCACCGATAGTTAAGCCAACGTAAACTCCAGTATTATCTCTGTTGGGAGTAGAAGTGGGATTATTAGTTTTATTCTCTTGTAATTCAGAAAGAGAAAGGGATTGATTAGGTAAGGTTTGAATAAGTTGATAATATTTTTGTAATTGCTGGTCTTTGTTTTCTATGGTTTTTGTAGTGCTGTTATTATATTCAATTACTAACTTTCCATTGTTTATAGTAATTTTTTTAATGCTTTTATTAATAAAGTATTGAAGAATTTGAGATTTTTCGGTGTCGCTAATTTGGTTATTTTTATTACTTGCTGCTTTTCCTGCTCCGCCGGTTTTTGGTGAAATTGGAGTTGGAGAATTCTGTTCCTGCACTGGTTCATTCGGAGCTTTTTTTGATAAATAATGCTGGCATTTATCAGAACAAAATTTAATGTTTTTATTTTCATCTAATTCTTTTCTAATTACTTCAGCACGGGCTTCGGCGAGAGTGAAATTTCTGTTTTCCTCCTTACCAAGGCGTTCCGCTTGTTGAGCTTTTTCATTTCAATAATTCGCTTTTTCCTCCATTCTTTCAAGCACGCTTTCTCAATACCCTCGGCAAAGTCTTTCGCGGTGTGGCCATTGCTCTTGAAACATTTTTTCTAAACTTCGATAACATTTTTCTTTTTCATTTGAATTTAATGGTCGGTTAATAGTGAAAAGATTTCAAAGACCTTCCAATCGTTCGTGAGGATTATCGTATTTTGATCCGCCACTATTTTCATACTCATTTTTTTCAATGCCGATTTTAATTTCTCGTCCACTATTGTTGTTTTTTTCACCAACATAAAGATACATATTTCCGTCTTGACCGTCAATTATTTCTACTCAACCAGAAAAATGAGGGTTAGAAGATTGATAGATTTTGCTTTCATTTTCTCGAACATAATGGCCTAATATTTGCGTTAAGTGCCAAGAGTTTTCAGCTACCAAAAGGCGGTATAATTCATGTTCTCCGTCTTCTCTTTTTACTTTTTTATAACTTGTAGCGTCTAACCTTTCACTAATATTAGCAGAAGATAAAAAGGGAAATTGGCCGATTTCGGGGAAAACTCGTCTTAGTTCTTTCAATGAACTTGCTCTTTCTATTAAATTAACAAGGCAATCATTCTCAGTTTTTTTTCCTCTTAACATCTCGTTGTTTTCTGAATATATTTCTACTTCTTGTTGACCATTGCCAACCACAATTCCTCACTTGGCGTATTCACTTTTTTCATTATTTTTGCTTGGAAGTTGAAAATAATTTTCTCGCAACTTCCATTCTCCACCCGAATTTTTATATTCTCGGGCTTTTTGTATTAATTCTTGTCCATTATTTACTTTTATTTTTTGGTTTTCTATGTTTTTATTCATGGCTTTATTATTTATTATTTTAAATCTTTTCTATATTTATTATTTTAAATCTTTTCTCCACCTCTTCTTTATTTAATAAATAAATAATTCGGGGCAATTCGGGACCTTTATCAGCTCCCGTTAATATGTTTCTTACTAATAAATAAAACTCTTTTTTGGGTGCTTGGCTACTTGTAGAAACAGATTTAAGAACTGATTTAATACTTTCTGCTTCCCATTTGTTTAATTTGTTTAATTCCTTTCTTAATTCTTCACCTCATAAAATCTCATTTTCTTTAACTTCAATTTTTTTGTGAGGTCTTTGGAAAAAATAATGGGTTAAGTTGGTTAATTCTTCAAAATAATTGAGTTGCGGGCGAAATAATAAGGAGACTTGCTTTACTCATTCCTTCTTTTCTTTTTCTAAATTATATTCTTTTTGTAATTTTTTTCAAGAATATTCGGAAAATTCCTCCTCAGTTAATTGTTGAATGTAGTAATTGTTAAATCAATTAAGTTTTTCCAATTCGTAAACTGCTCCGCGGGCATTTAATCCTTCTAAATTGAATGCTTTTGCGGCCTCTGGTAAAGAAAAAATTTCTTGGGTGGTTCCGGGGTGTCAGCCCAAAAGTAGCAAATAGTTAACTATTGCTTGCGGCAAATATCCTTTTTCCCGTAATTGGCTAATTAATTGCCATTGGCTTGTCTCTTTATCCCTTTTGGAGAGTTTTTTTTTTTCTTGATTGAGAATTATTGAAATATGTCCGAAAAGGGGAGGACTTCACTCCGACGCTTCATACAATACTAATTGCTTGCCAGTATTAGATAAGTGTTCTTCTCCCCGTAAAACATGGCTAATTTTCATTAAGTAGTCGTCAATAACGCAAGCAAAATTATAATTAGGAATGCCATTTTGACGAAAAAGCACAAAATCTTCGGTGTCTTTTCCTTCAAATTTTACCTCTCCTCGCACTAGGTCATGAAAAAGATAATTTTTTTCCTGAGGAATTTTTAGGCGTATCACGTAGGGCTTTTTTTGCTGAAGAAAAGACTGAATTTCATTTTCTGATAGTTTTAAGCACTTTCGCGAATACTGATAATTTTTTTTTTGATTAGTTCTTATATATTCTTCTTTCTCATGGGCTAATTCTTGAGAAGAACAAAAGCAATAATACGCCTTTTTTTCCTTTACTAATTTACTAACGTATTCCTTATAAATGTTTAATCGCTGGGTCTGCCGATAGGGACCATATTCGCCGGTTTGAAAAACAGATTCGTCTGGCTTTATGCCTAATCACAATAAATCCTCATGCAAGTTATTAATAAATTCTTCTTTGTTTCTTTCTTGGTCGGTGTCCTCAATGCGGAGAATAAATTGGCCTTGGTTTTTTTTTGCTCAGAGATAACAAAAAAGAGCCGTGCGGGCTCCGCCAATATGTAATTCCCCGGTCGGACTAGGAGCAAAACGGGTTCTAACTAACTCTTTTTTCACAATTTATTTTAAGCCTGTCTAATTCTTTGCGGATTTGTCAAATTCGATAAGCAGCGAACATGAGAGGAATAAGATAACTTATATTTAGTAAATATCAAAAAGGACCATACTTGTTTTTGTCACCTGCCTCTGCTGCTCCTTCTACAATAATCCGAGCGACTTCTCCGCAAATAGTTAATATCCCAAATTTTTTTAAGGTCTCCTTACAATGCTCGTTCGACTCAGTGGCCTTGGTTATTAAGTAATCTTTTTTTTTATAACTTATTCCTTCGGCTTTGTTGATAGCATAACACATTTGATTAAAAGGAGACTTTAATAAAGCAGTGACAAAACCATCCATGGTAAACAAAGCACCTTGAATTATTCCTGCTCCCAAAACTATAAATCAGAACTTTTTTCCTTCGTTATAACCCCCACTATCCAAAAAACTTCTTACTCCGTTAGATATAACTAATACTCAGAACGCATAGGAAATAATATAAATAAATATCAAACTGAATAAATATCTCCAATATTGTCGAAATTGTTCGTTGATTCTTTTAAGTGTCTTTTTATCCAACTTTTTGGTTTCTATTTCTAATTTCTTATTTCTAATTTCTTTACTTTTCTTATTTTTTTCTTGTTTCTTGGTGTCCATATATAAACAGAACAATTTATTTTATATATTTTTGTTCTCTAAACTGTTAACTTTCAGCGACCTTTGGCTCGCCGAGCCACGATTACTGAATAGTTTTTTTTCATGCGAGTTAAAAATCCGTGCTTTCTTTTTCTTTTCTTTTTCTTGGGTTGATAGGTTCGTTTCATATCTAATAAATAATTTTAACGCTCATTATAATTATATTTACTATTTAACTCCTGAACTTGTTTTTGTCTCTTGTCCCAAAAAATAAATTAAAATGAGAATATTAGCAATTGGTGATATATTTGGTAAAACTGGCCGTCAAGTCATTAAGGATTACCTACCGAAGTTAAAAAATGAACATGAAATTGACCTGATTATTGCTAACGTGGAAAACACTACCCATGGCAAAGGAATATCCCGCAAACATTATCAAGAATTAAAAAATTGTGGAATTGATATAATGACTTCTGGCAATCATATCTTTGCTGTCGAAGAAACCAAAAAGTATATCACAGAAGTACCTGATTTGTTAAGACCACTCAATTCTAATCCCTATCATCCTGGATTCGGAACTATTTTGACAAAGATTAAAGGAAAAAAAATTCGGATTACTAATTTGATTGGCAACAATTTTATGCCAAGTGCTCCCGAAAATCCTTATTCGGCCTTCGAAAAAGTACTAAATTTACAAGACTGAGACATTCATTTAATAGACTTCCATGCTGAAACTACGGCTGAGAAAATTGCCTTGGCTTTATATTTTGATGGCAAAATTAGTGCCTTATGGGGAACTCATACCCACGTGCAAACGGCCGATGAAAGAATATTGCCAAAAGGTACAGGATTTATCACTGATTTAGGAATGACTGGGCCTTACGGGGGAGTCATTGGCGCCAAGCCAGAGGTAATTTTTCAAAGGGGTAAATATGGCTTGCCAGCCAAAATGACTCCTCATGAAGATAACGGACAATTTAATGGAGTTATTTTTGAGTTTGACGAGGATAGTAATAAATTATTAAATATCAAAAGGATTAGAGAAATTTTTTAAAAAAAAAATAATATATATCGCAATGAAGTAAATAATAATAGGTAGTTATGTATTATTTTACACTAAAAAAAGAGAAGTTCATCATAAACTTTTATATTTTATTTTATAAAATGTGATACATGTGTTGCTGAATTTTAAAAAAATTCTTTGATTCCTTAAAATCTAACCTCTCTCTAAATAAGTATTATGAAAATTATTAAAGAACTCTGAATAACCAATTTATCTTTTGACAAAAGAACCAACAAATTAACTTTTGTCATTAAACTTCGTACATACACTCCAAAAATAGTTAGATATGAACAAAGAAATTATGTTAAATATCCAGTATATGATGGTTATTCAGAAAGAACAAAACTAGTAAGAAATTTTGATAAGACAATTAATCCTATAAAGTTTGTGAATGAAGACATTTTGAAATTAGATTTAAGTAGAAAATTCATTTTACTTATCCTTGAAAAAATTCCAACAGTTCCAGAATGAAGAAAAAAGGAAATAGAGTTAAAGAGGATTTTAGATTTAATAGATGATACCAAACGAAAAATACGAAACTATCACAATGAGAAAAGAGAATATTCGTTTAAAAAAACGGATTTTAATGAAGAACCAAGCAACTTTTGACTTCGTTTATTTTTTGCTCCTTTTACTCTTGGTCTTTCATTTATCGGTTATAATAGCCAGAAGCAAGCCTTATTAAATAAGGAAACTAATAAAAACAATAAAGAGTGGAATGGGAACCATAAAATTAAAATCGATCAAGAAAATTCTCTTCTTCTGAAAGAGATACAACAATTTAATGAAAAATGTAATAAGACTATTGGTTTTAATTGAAATCTTTATCACAGAACCAAAGCAAAAGAAATAATATGGTGAGATAAAGATATTCATGATGGTTGAAAGGATTTAAAACTTGCTTCCAACTTTTCCTTTCGGAACCTTAATGATAAAAAAGGAGTTTATATTATACGAAATGAAACGAAAAATAAGTGTTATGTAGGGCAGGCTAAAAGTATAGGCGTAAGACTAAACCAACACTTTCCAAATAGTGAGGTTATAAATACTAAAAATGCTGAATTTGCGAAGGATTGATATTCTGGCGATTATTTTTGTTATAAATATATTCTTTGTCAAACCAAGGATGAATTAGATAGTTTAGAAAAACAAAAAATTGAGGAATTTAATTCGTTTAGAGATGGTTATAATGGCACTGGTGGAAATAAATAAGTTTAAAATTAAAAGTGCCTTTTAAGAAAACAAATAAAAGAGCCTATTTTTCATTTTGATTAATTAAAAATCCTCCACTCAAAAACGAAAAGGAAAAATATAATTGGTGTAAAATAATTATAATTGCCAAATTTTTTTATTCTTATTAAATGTAATATTTTTTAATTCTTTTCCTTTTCAATTCCTAATTTTTTAACTGCTTTAGCAGCAGCCTGCTGCTCTGCTTTACTTTTGCTGCGACCTTCTCCGCTTTCCCAAAAAGTCCTTGGTCCATCATTTACTTCTACTTCTACAATGAATAACTGCTGATGTTCATCTCCTACTATTTTTTTTCCTTTTAGTCGGTAATTAACTCTACCCTTGCGGGCCTGACAATATTCTTGTAATTGACTTTTATAATCCCATACCATGTTTTCTTTGCCTTCACTCCAAGCAAAAACAGTTAAGTTAAGAAAGCGGTGAACTATTTTGCTGCCTTTCTCTAAATACAGGGCTGCCACAAAAGATTCAAATACATCAGCTAATATACTTTCTTTTTCGGCTCCACGATTTTTTCTTTCCCCCATTCCTAATTGAAGAAATTCCCCTAGACCAATTTCCTTACTTAAGTAAGCCAACGTGCTCTCTTGAACCATTAACTGTTTTAACTTACTCATTTGTCCTTCGGCGTAATTGGGAAATTTTTGATAAATAAAAAGGCTAGTGTGAAAATTTAATATGCTGTCTCCTAAAAATTCCAAAGTTTCGTAAGAAGAAACAGGATTTTCATTATTTTCTGAGCCTGATTCCGAGTCAGAGTTCTTCCTTAGTTTTAACTCGTTAAGATAAGAAGTGTGAACAAAAGCCTGCTTAAAATGTTCAGTATCCTTAATGCTCTCAATTATTTTCCTTATTTTTTTTAGTTGATAAATCATTAATTTTTTTTAACTTATATTCGCCTCACTTGAGTAAGGTGTTCCAACTTGTTTTAAATAAGGAGTAAGAAGGTAATAATTTCATTTGCTTAAGTGGCACGTTGTCACATAAATAACTTCCTCTTGCTCGCCCTTTCTCCGATAAACTGTGTAGTAAATAGGAGAAAACTTTTTTAATAATTTCAAGCCTTTGTTGCGGTTTTCTTCGGTCAAGGAATGGAGACGAAGTAAGACAATTCGGTCGCGCGGAAAGATTTGACTAATCAAGAAAGAAGAAAGAAAAATATAAATCATGGTTGCTCATAGCCGTTCATTATTAGTAATATAACTTAGATATTTAGGAAAAATATTTCTTTGTTGTTCTTTGTCGAGTTCCTTAATTCTTGTTTCTAAGTCATTTTTTCTTCGCAACTTCCTGGCTAATTTTTCTCCCGAAGCACCTTTTATTTTTTTGTTAATTTTGTCTCTCTCTGCTTCTAGTTTATCCTTTTTTTCCTTACCTCGTGCCAGATAATAGTCTACTTCTTGGGGATAGTTTTCTAATTGTTGATACCCTGTTTTGTTTTTCAGAAGGGAAGTGAGAGAACGATTTTTTTCTCTAGTTTCAAAAATTTTTTTAATGTCCTGGTTGTCTTTATTCTCCTTTTTTTCTAACCGCTTGGCTTCTTTCATGTCCTCTTCTCAACCATCCAAGATCTTTTCCGTCTTTTCTCCTTTTATTTTAAGTCCTTTTTCTTCTAATTTTTCTTTTTGTTCCTCAATTTCTTTTTGCAGCAGACTTTCTTTCATTTTTGAATTATCCTCTATCATTGTGAAATTAATTAAGGTAACTAAAAAAATAATAACCAGTCCGAAAACTTTCATGAGGGTGCTAATCGAAACCTTTTTTTTCCCCTTGCGTGAAGAAAAGTGGGAAGTAAAAATTTCCAACCCGCCAGGAGTAGCCTGGGCTTGGAAAATTAAACTATAGCCATAAGTGTGAATAATCGCCGCCACCACCGCAATGACTATATAATATGGCAAAGTGAAGGACAATTGGCTGCTGGAACTTAACCCTTGCCAACTGCTGGGATTAAAGCGATTAAAAACATACTCTCGCAGTTTAAGAAATCCAAATATTTGAGTTCAAATAATCTGAGATAAAACATAAAAAATTGAGGTGCTGATTATCTCTAATTTTGCCTTGAAAAAGGTCCTCAAAATGAAAATAAAGAGCAAGTTGGTCAGTAATCCTAAACCATAATAAATAAGGTAATAATTGGCTCAACCAATATTAGTATTACGGCCCACTATTAACTTGGAAAAAGCCTGCAATAAACCATTTAAACCGCTATTATAAAGACCATTCGGGTCAATCAAAAAGTAAAAAGTAAGGGTGGTAAATAAAGCACCAATAAAAACTATTGCTAACTTGCTCAAATATTTGAAAGTTAACTGCTTTCCAGTTGGCTTTTTTATTGGTTTTTCTAAATAAAGGCGGCGAATAAACTCATTATACTGCTGCCAAATATTGTAAGTTCCTTGGTCTGACGAGTTATTATTTAATTCAGTTTTTTTTTGGTTTTTTTTCATCGAACTTTTTTAATTTAGTAATGGTGTATGAGGAGAAATTTGATTAACAAAAATGTAATTAATCTCTTCCTTTTGAAGAGAATTTTTTGTTAAAAGTGCTTCGGCTAATAAGTTTAATACTCTTCTTTTTTTTCGGAGAATCTCTTTAACCTTTTTTCAACATTGGTTCATTATTTTTTCTCGTTCATTTTCAATTTTTTGTTTAGCGGTTTCGGGTAATTCGGCAGTTAACATTTCTTCTCCATAAAAAAAAGATTCTTGGGTGGGAATAATCCCTAAGTCGGACATTCCATAATGTAAAATTAAATCACGAACAATTCCCGAAGCCTTTTTGAAGTCGTCATAGGCCCCTCCTGTAATATAATCTAGGCCAAAAATTAACTCTTCACTGGCTCGCCCACCTAAAAAAGTCATAACATTGGCGAGCATTTGGGCTTTGTTAAGCAGATAATCATCTCCTTGTTCTCCATACAAGTCGATTCAAGTATAACCTCCCGCATGCAAACGTGGAACAATCGTAATTTTTTTGACAATCGTTTCGGGCAAACTCATACCAATAACCGCATGACCAGCCTCGTGATAAGAAATTATTCTTTTTTTAGCAGGGGTGAAGGTTTGGCTGGTTAAAGAAGGGCCCATTAGTACCCGATCATAAGCCTCAAAAATCATTTCATAGTCAATAAATTTTTCTCCATGACGGATGCTCAAAATAGAAGCCTCATTAAACATATTAGTGATTTGTGCTCCACTTAGGCCTTTGGTCATGGCCACGATTTCTTCTAAATCAACGTCCGATTTAAGTGAGAGTTTGCGAGTACAAATCCTAATAATCTCTCGCCGTCCTTTTAAATTAGGAAGAGGTATGTAAATTTGACGGTCAAACCGACCGGGTCTTAAAAGAGCACTATCTAAGACTTTTAAAGAGTTAGTGGCCGCCAAAATAACAACGTTATCACGGGGATGAAAGCCATCCAATTCGTTTAATAATTGGTTCAAAGTTTGTTCGGCGTGACCAGTATTCCGGGAATATCTTTTACGACCAATTGAATCAATTTCATCAATAAAAACAATACAGCCTTGGGGATAACTACGAGCCTGCTTAAAAAGTTCCCGCATGCGACGGGCACCCACTCCCACCATCATTTCTTCAAATTCAGAACCAGAACGAAAGAGAAAAGGCAGACGACATTCCCCCGCTAAAGCCTTAGCCAATAAAGTTTTGCCATTGCCAGGCGGACCGACTAATAGCACCCCCTTTGGAACCTTGGCTCCTCGTTGCCAAAAGGACTGCGGATTATGAAAATAGGAAACTACCTCTCCTAATTCTTCCTTGGCCTCTTGTAGCCCTCCAACATCCTTAAACCTAGTACCCGGAATGCCAGCCTCCCCTTTTCCTTTTTTTCAGTTTCGAAAAGGATAAGAAATAAAACCAATAAAATTGGTGCCAAAAATCATGTCAACAAAATAAAGAGAGACAATGAAGGAAACTAAGTAAAATAGGAATTTAAGTATATCCCAGATACTAAGCGACTTTTCCTCCTCGAACAGGTCAATCCTACTACTCAGAGGCTGAGTAGTGTGAATTTTTTTTACCTTGTTTTTGTTGGTAAGACCACTAAACTCAATGTCCTTATCCCTTACTTCGTGAGGCTCAAGAGAAGCAAGAGCAGAATAGATGGTTGGCTTACCAATCAACCTCTTGAAGAAATTTTTCCCTTCTCCATAGAGGCGGTATTGAGTCTTCTCTCCCCACGGATGACCAGCACACTCTACCCTTTGTCAATCTATCTTATCAATTTCTTCTTCAGTAAGATTATAAATTACAATTGTTCTATCATCTTTCTTCCACATTTCAAACTGCTTTTTGTCGGGTGAAGAAAAGAAATTCATAAAAAGCAAGACCCCCCCGATTACCAGAAGAAGTAAAATTATTACTGGACCTAGCCATTTTCCTGTTTCCGAAGACTTTTTATTTTTTTTTGGCGGCTCTTTTTCTTTCATTATTTATAATATTAATATATTTTTAAGACGAAATAAGGGCCTGACGGCCAGTTTTGACTATCGAGAAATTATTTCCTAATTTTATAATTAAACTTTTTTTTTGACTGGTAAACAACTGTTTATAAACTTCATTAAGGAGTTTTTTTTTTCTTTTTTGGAGGATTCCGCCTGTGGTTTGGTTAATTCAGAAATAAAGTAAACGTCTATATACTTCTGGCAAGTATTCATCCCTTTTATCAAGTTTGAGGACAAAAGGGGAAATAATTAATTTTTTAGCAGCGATTTTAACCAACTTTTTAATTTTTCTTAGTTCTTGATTTTGCTCTTTAATTTCCTTTTCAAGAGTTTTTTTTTCCTCTTTACTTAAATTGTCTAATTTTTTTCGAAAAATATTGCGTTGATAAATAGGCAATTGATTCGTAATATCAACCGCATAGTTTATTTTTTTTTGGGCTAAGTATTGGCAAATCTGCTGCTTATTAAGAGACAAAAGAGGACGCAATATTCAATATTTTCCTCACTTAACTTTGACTGGCAACCCTCAATATTCAACTAATGATTTTCTTTGTTTTTGTAGTAAATAGGTTTCCAGATGGTCGTCTAAATGATGGGCTACTACCACATATTTAGTTTGATACTTATCGGCTACTTTTTGAAAAAAGTCATAACGGATTTGGCGGGCCCTATCTTGAAAATTACTAATTGAATGGTATTCAAATCCTTGAAAATGGTAAACTTCATATGGCAAAGAATATTTTTGACAATAATTTCTCACCAATTTTTCGTCATAATCACTGCTATTCCTTTTTTTATAATTGACATGAGCGACTACTAAATTATATTTTTCATCACGCATTTTTTCTAATAAAAACATGCTATCAGGACCGCCAGAAACGGCTATGATATATAGTTTATTTCTATCTAAAACTTTTTGGTTAAGCAATTTTAATTTTAACTTTCTAAATTGAGGAGTAATAATATAATAATATGTGGTTATTTTTTAACGAATCTGACAACTGAATATTTTTTCTCAACTTTTTTTTGAGAATAAGGATAGAAATTATTTTTGGTCTGACTATACTAACTTTTCTTTTTTTTTATTTTTTCTCCTTTTTGAAAGCAATCCAATGCCTATTCCAATGGCCAAAGTTCCGCCTATAATTCCTACTAAAAGAATATTATTTGTAGTGGGAGGCTTTTCAGTCGATGACGTGGAGTTAACACCAAGAATATTACTTAATTCCTGCTGACTTAAACTATTTTTGCCATTTTGTTGGCAATAATTTTTAATTTTTTGGAGTTCTTGACTAGTGCTTATTTGCTCAGAAGTTATAACCTTACCTGTTGAATGGTTACTTGCTGAGTTATTAAATTCAATAATTAAATTGCCATCTGAAGTTAAAGTTACTTGCTTAATGTCCCTGAGATATTGAGATATTGGGGTTTGATTATCAGTTTTGATAGGCGAATTTTCGGTAGATTTAGGTGCGTTGTCTCCTTTACTATTTTTTTCTTCGGACAGACTATCTTTTTCTGGATTTGGCTTCGGAGAATTGCCTGGGTTTACTGAATTATCGGTTTTTTCGTTTGAATTAGTTATCGGTTGAGAAGATGGAGTTGCTTGATTAGAGGTAGCGGGTGAGTTATCTCCATCATTATCGTCGTTATCTTTTTTTATTACAACTTGGAAGTCTCCTAACACTAACGAATCATCTCCAAACATTTTTTTATAAAACTCCTCCGCTATTTGATATGGAACTAAGTGTGGTTGGCCAGAAACATATTTTCCGTTTTTAATTTGTCAAAAACTACCATCAGGGACTCATAAGCAAACGTAACCTTCCATATCCTTATTTCCTCTTCACATTTTACCCCCCTTGTATTCTCCAAGTTTTAAATTTTTCACCACTCGCTCACATTCTCTTTCTCGTTCGGAATTAGAAAGAGTATTCCATCAACTTTGGGCTTTGGCTTGGGCTTGACAAAAATTTTCGTAACATTTTTCAGCTTCCTCAGTGTGGTTTTGACAACCCTTACAAAGATCCCCTCCATTACTTTCAATCGGAAAATTGCATTTTTTTCCATGGTATATTCCTTGACATGGCTTAGAATGTTGTTTACATAAATCCACACAATCGTAATGAGACTTTTGAGGACAAAAAGAAATTTTACATTTATTACGAAAGTGTGGTCGCCCCGAACTCCAACAACTTTCACAACTATAACTAAAAGTCGAAGGGTATTTGTCGATATCACAACAATGTTCGTGTTCATTCGACAAAAACACAATCCGCGTTGGAATATCCCGTTCCCCTCGGTGCGTAATTAACTTGTGGCACCTAGAACATTTAACATGTCCCTCGGATATTAAACAATCAACGCAAAAAAGTTTTCCGTTTTTTTTGATAAAGTGTTCATGGTCACCGCAACCGGAAGAGAACTTATTTTGCTCTGGATATACATACTTTGAGTTACACTTGCTACACTTTTGATTATTAAATTGATCTGACATAATATTTATTCTTTAATTTTTTTATTTGTATTGATTATTGTTTTAAAACATTATTTTTGCTTTGGCTAATCTAGTAATTATTTTGTTCATTTTACTTTTTGCTTGCGTCCTACCTCAACAGGGCACAGGGTTGGCAATGACTTTGTTCTCTTAATTTTTTCTCAAAGTAGATACTTGTTTTTTTTTTTTTTGCTGGCATGATATTCATTGTATTTATTATTTATTGTATTAATTTAATTTTATATATATTTTATAAATGAATCTACCTTCAACCTTTCAAAAACTCCACATATGGAAGGCTTGACTAATCTCTTTGCGGATAGTGCTAGTTCTGGCAAACTTGCCAATTTCTCTATCACTGATTTTGGCAAACAAGTCCAAAAAGCCCAAGTCTCTTTCGGTAATGTTCCCTTAGGCATTTATCGGCAAGGTTCCAAACCTAAACGCACCTCTATTTTTCACGACCAGGAAAAAGATAAAGCCCTTTATCAACTGATTCATGAATTAACCTTTAAGGGCAATTATTACGCTTCGTTGCGGAATTTCTATAATAAGTGCTTAATGAATTTCACGGAGGAGGATTTTCAACGCGGCCTTTATTTTCTCACTTTAACTTTTAACAATCAGCAAAAAGAAATGCGTTTTTCTTTTGCTCCTTGACGACAAGACCAGCAATGCCCGGTAGAAAACTGCCAACAAGAGCATTTATTCCAAACTGTTCCACTGGAAACTACCTCTTTTTTCGCGGAAAAGAAAACGGCGAAAAAAAGACTAGGCCGAGAAATCGACGGCGTGAACGATTTATTTGCTTTGTTTATCACTACCATCCAAAAACTCTGAAAACCCACTAACTTTAAATGAGTGGCCGTTCCCGAACTCCATAAATGTCAAACTCCCTGCCATTGACAAGGAAAAAAATCCAAGAAAAAAGGTTGGAAAAACCACGACCAAAAATTTTGTCATTGTCAAATTAAGCATGATTGCCGTCGTAATTGACATATTCACATGCTAACTACGGACTTCCTGCCGCCTAAATATCAGCATGAACGTTGTGGACTAGGAAAACATGACGACCAGGGTTCCCCGTTAGGTTGTTGAGACCACCGAGCCTATATCGCCCATGACCTTTGACCTTATGGATTAGTTGACATTAAAAGAGTTAGCCATTTCAAAGACCGCCAAGGTAAACATGGCCGTCCCATTAAAACCGCCGAGCAAGTAGTAATTTATTTAGCCAAATATTTGGTTAAAGCCTTTAAAATGAGACAAGACCAAGCACTAAGCCAAAAAGTCGGCTTGCTAAAAGGCATGAGCATCTATAAATTTTTTAGAGTGATTTATGGTTATCGGGAGAATGGTGAGCCTTTTATTGTTGCCAAAGTCCAAAAACCGCAAGTAAGTTCCAAAGTCTTTATCAATAACGATTATGGCTTCACCGAAGAAGTGGAAAAAGAATTCTCCGATTATTTTGACAAAGATTTAAAGTTAAAAAAGAAAGTGCGAAAAATTTTCCGTGAAAAAGAAAAATTACCGGATTTTTCTAAGCAAAAAGACTGGAAATTAACCGAAATTTTAAAACTTTGTCTCTTTTATTCCAGCCAAAGCAAAATCAAACAAAACCAATTCTGAAAACCTTGCGATACTAGCGAAGACGCTATTTGAATCCAAGGTCAAGGTTGAAAACTCCACTGTCCTATCCGTCAAGACCACCACACCGAACCCATTATCAGGTGAGAATTTGAGTTTAAAGGAAAAAGGGCTTATTCTGATTATCAAACTCATATTTTACCCGCTTTAGCAAAAATAAGTCTTCCCTCCTTCGCTAAATTCCAAGATTACCAGGTCCAAGACACTGATTATATCAAATTCGCCCAAGAGGCTAAATTGCCCTGAAATAAAGCCCTTAATGAGTATGAATCATTAGAGGAAATTGGCGAAAGTGCCGACAGTGAAGAATGACGCGAAAGCATCCCGACCGAAGTGCTTTACAATCACATTTACTTAAAAGAAATTCGGTCACAAATTAGCGGAGGTGATTACTCCTGAGGATTAACTGCGGATGATGCTATCAAAAGATACGCCGATTATTAAGTAAAGCAAGGGTTTTTAGGTTAAATTTCCCTCTTCCTAATGGATAAATGAAAAAGACTAATGACTGTGAAAAACATTCAAGGATATTTTATCCAAAGGATTAATCAGTCCGAGTTTTGGCGGTTCCTCTCCTTCTCCCTTCCCCTTCTCGTTAAGCGGGGGTCAAAAGGAGAAAAAAAGTTGAGAATGTTTTACCTAAAAGATTAAAAAAAGGGTTGTTAGTTTTACTCCCCTCCCATTCGCGATACGGAAAATAGAAAAGCAAAAAAAAGTATGATTAACGAAATTAAACAGTCGATTGGTTATGCGTATGAAATTATTTTTGACCAAAACCACGGGGTAGTGATGAAATTCTGTGGCTTCTTACAAGCCAATCCAGTTTTTTTACTCCCGTTGGGTTTTTACCTATTATTTTTAGGGGTCAAAACTACTCGAAAACTAATCACTGGTTTCTAAAAACGTCCAAGGATAAAATATGTGCTAGCAAAGTGTTATGTTAAAGATTTGAAAAAAAATTAAAGAAAATTGAGAAATTATCAAGTTGATATTTTTTTGAGGAGCAGGATTAATTATTTGTCTATGAGTGATAATTAACATGTGAAAAAATAAGTAAAAAAAATGATAAGAATTTGTATCTATTGTGAAAAGGAAAAAGAAACCAAACAATTTTGAGTCCGTTGAAACCCCAATTTAGGGGCTTGTTATGGCTGCCTAGCCAACAAGTTCCGCGATTATGAAGCGAAGAAAGTCGTTGAAAGCGAGATTTTAAAGTAAAAATTATGTCTCAATTAATTTATCGCTCGGGTTGTTGAGGTTGTAAAAAAGCCCAAGAGGACCCATTAGAAAAATATGTTTGTCCTCAGTATCAACAACATTGAGCGGAATATCAAAAAATAGAAAAAAAATATGAAAGTATATATAGTTAAATACGAAAAAGACCACCAAGAATATAAAAAAGTGGTGTTAAAAATCAGTAATGATTTAAGTGGTGAGGAAGTGTTTTATAGTGGATTTTTAAGAGACTTAGAAAATGAAAGAAGTTGAGGTAAAAAAGGACAGTTGGAAAGTTATGCCGAACTTTACCGAGACAAAAATGACCCTAAAAAATAAGGGTTTACCACCCCCTATATCCATATGACAGGAGTTTATCAAACCTTTTTAAAGTTGGTCGAGACTATGAACGGAGCCAAAATTGAGGGTCAATTTGCCAAAGATATTATTTGATTAATTGCCGCCCTGTTTGGGTTTTGGCTCTTGGTAATGTTAGCCTTAACTCCTTATTGGTTAGTGCGGTGAATGTTTAAGAAAAAATAATGGACTACAACAATTTATTTAGAAATAATTCGTTAAGTTTTGTGCGGAGTTTTGTTTCCAAGATAGTTTATCAAGGTTTAAATGCTCCGTTTAATCCGCAAATGGAACAGGTGGTAGTCCTAATTAGTGCTTTAATTGTAGTTTTTATACTCTACAAACTAGTCTGATTAGTCTGAAATACAATGAAATTTATCCTTAGTTGTCTAGAATGGTAGAGTAGAAGTTTATTAAATCAACAAAAAAAAGACTATGAAATGTAATAAATGTTATCAAAAAATCCCTAGTGGTGAGGAAATGTGAAAAAGAGAAAGAGGTTATTTTCATGAAGAATGTTTAACCAAGATTAACCAGCAAGACAAAAAAATCATATTTAGGTTTGGAATTGGTTTAACATTATTAGTGCTTGGTTTAACTTTGGCTTGTCTTTTCGATGCTTTTAAAAGTAGAAAAAAAATAACCAAAAAAAGGTGTCATTGCTGTGAAAAAGTGTGTAATAACGCTTGTAAAGCAATAAAAAGAAGTAGAAAAACAGATTTAGAACTTGCCAAAATTTTCTTTTTGGGCGGTCTTGCGATTCTTCTAACTTTTACTGTTTACCAGATAACCAGTTCTTTTTGAAGTATTTTGATTTTACCTGTCTTATTATTGATAATTCATCGCCAAACTAAGAGCAAAGAAGAAGATAAAGAAACTATTTAAAGTAAAAAAATGACTGGAACAATAATTAAATGATGTCTAATAATCGGCTTAATCTGCGGACTAGTTCAATTTCTCCTTATCTGATGAAAACAATATCAATTTAAGCGTTTAGTAAAGGAACAAGTAAGTTTAGCGGTGGTATTTGGCTCGCTGGGCCAGGGAAAAAGTCTCCTTTTTTCCTGGTTAGTTAATCGGTTAGATAATACTTATACTAATTTCTGACATAAGAAAAAAGGAAATAAGACCTTATTATTAGATTATGCCGATGTGCGGGGCAGATATAAGATACCCGAAGAGCCTGCCAATTATTTTGTCGATGAAGTGAATGTTTATTTTCGCGGCACTGAATACTTAAAAAACCGCAAGGTTAATTCAGGTATTGCTGATTTTTGCGTTTTTGCTCGCCATTTTGATAAAAAAGTATTCTTTTCCGTCCAGAGAACCAATCAATTGTGAGTGGAAATTCGCGACATCGCTAATATCTACTTTAAAATTAAAGGTATTTACACCCCTTTATTTTTGCCCTGGTGTTCGGTGTTAAGAATTGAAGCCTATGAAGACCTTAAATTAGCGGAGGAATGGTCCTCTAACATGGCCCCTTACCAAAAAGGCGGTTTTTTTAGTCTGTTTAGTGGTGGTGATTACGACCAAGCCAAAAAAAGACTGAATATTAAAGAATACAAAATTTTCCTCCAAAAGAAAGATTTTCAAAATTATGACACTAAATTCTTTAAAGCCTTATTGCCGTTATTAAACAAGAATAGAAAAGAATTTAAAGTTCCCCCAGGAAAAATCCCTGTCCCTAATGCCTTAAAAGACGTTATCAAGGATGAATTCTTTATCGTGGAAGAAAAACCAACTCCTACTTTCTGACAAAAAGTTAAAAAGTGATTTACAAAAAAACCCAAGTCCTCTTTGCTGAATAGCAAAGATAAAAACCCTGGGAGCCGTGAAACGGCGAGCCCAAAAGATAAAAAATGTTAGACTTATGACTTTTAGACACCATTGCTCTGGTGGTTTGGATAATTTTTTGCTGAAAAAAATGAGAAAAGATTTTTGTTTTGGAACAAGCTGAGCGATGAGAAGAACTATTTATATGAGGAATGTTGGCTTATTCGATAATAAGTTTTCTAGTCAAAATTATTTAATCGGTGGTTGAGTAAAGTGAATAAAAAACGCGGCCAATGTTAAAGGAGACCAGGTTTATTGTTCCGACTATTCCGACCGCTATCTCCTTTACTAGGACGCAGTCCTGAGCGGCGGCAGTCATGATTTAGGCCGTGTGTTGAGCGTAATGGGAAACAGCGAAAAAGGCCGTTAAAAATCAGAGCAACAGAGCGAGATTAGTTATCTCATCAGTCTCCATATCAGTCGCTACCCTTTTTAAAACACTTTTTCGAGCAAAATCATTTTCATCGACTTCATCATCCTCGCATCAGTCGCGAGTAATTATCTTACCGCAGAAGTCACATTGGCGAATTTCAACCTTAACTTCAATTGGCTCAACGGCCTTATTCACCGGAACAACTTCGCTTTTTTCAAACTCAAAATTTTTTCAATTATTTTTAATTTTTTTCATGGTTTTTTTAAAACCTTTATACCTGAAAAAAATGGTTTTACAAAGTAAAAAAAAATAACCTGTTTATTCCTCTCCTTTCGACCCTTTCTGTTCCGCTCTTTTTTTATTCTAGCCAAAGTGCCTGATAATAATGCTTCGGTAGCCCTTAACCTTCAATAGACCAAAATTAGCCATTTTGGAAAATTATTAAAAAATCACTTCTCCCATGAAATATAATGAAGAAAAACAAGCCCAAATCACTCCCCGAAAGGTCAGAAGTAAAACCCTGACTAATCCTTAATAAACCCCCTAATATTTAGCAAAAACAGCAACAAATTTAAAAAAATATGGTTAGCAAATTTACGCAAAAAGATTTAGAACAATTAGAAAACGAGCAAGAATTAGCCGCTTATCAGTGATATCAGCGGAATTGACCTGCCTGAAATGATTTTTATGGCGGTTTACCTCAATTAACCGAAAAAGGGGAAAAAGACTTCATTTTTGGACTAAAAAAGTGTTCGCCCCTTATTTGACAGTTTCTCCAAAAAAGAGGCGAAAACAAACAATCTGTCCGAAATTTCCCAACCATCCTCAACGAGGATAACATTAAAGAGTTTGAAGAAGTCGCCCAAGAATTAGAGCAACATTTTCCCGGCAAAGGTCAAAATGTCGGCACTGATGCTCTGGTTTATAAGAGATTTAAAATTAATACTGACTTATTTATTGAAGCCGTGCGACTTTTTTACGACCAGTTCAAAAGATTAGGTGGTTTTGGTGGTGGTTCCTTTGAACAATTATTTTCCTCGGTTCGTATGGGCTTATATAGTGCGGTTGATAATTGTGTCCTCAGTCGAGCAGGTTTAAATTACCCTGATTTACAAAATAATCCTAGTCCTCGTTTACAAGCCCTCAAAAAATATCTTCAAATAGCCTATTTTTTACGAGTTCGCTTTCAAGTTTTAGACGCTTTTGTCCGCTCAGATTATATACCCAAAGATGTCCCGGGTTTTACCAGTCAAGGCCAATGAAATAATTTTCTGAGTGATGTCAAAGATAGATTAAAAAAGAAATTTGGTAAGAATGCGGACAAATTTTTCGTCAAAATTTTCGGTTCCGATAACCCCCCACCACCCCAAAATCAAACCGAATTTAACTTTTACCAAGAACAGATTTTAACCTGAATTGCTAAAGTGGGAGTAGTCAGTGGCAATCCTGATGATACTCCCGTCAATTTAGAGGAAATTCCTACCACTGATGGTTTTCACCGCGACTATGCCAAAGAACAACGAGAAAGAGAAGAAAGACAACGCCAGGAAGAAGAACGCCGCCAAAGAGAGAACCCCGATTGAGCGAATATTAACCAGGCTTTTAAAAATAACCCTGATTTACAAGCCAGTTGAGAAAATAAAGGTTTTACTTATGCCGAAGTGAGGGAATGAATTGATATTGGTTTAAAACCGAAAGATGCTAATTTTGCTGAATGATTAAGAGATATTAAAAAAGTTGATGTGGACTGAGTATTAAATGAAGGAGATGACACCAAATTAAGACAAGAATTCCAAGAATGAGAAGCCAAACCCGAAGAACAAAAGGAGGAGGAATTAAAAAATAATAAAAATGATAATATAGATGATAATGACAAACCTAAGCCTACGGAGCCACCCAAGAACACTAAACGGGACAAATCCCCCTCCCGTCAAGCCGCGGAGGACAAACTAAAAGGTAAAGAAACTAAGCCTCCTGTTGAAACTGGTTTTAACTCCTCGGACCTCAATGAGACCCTGAATTCTCTCTCTGGCGCCTTAGATAAAGACTCCAAAGAACAAGGTCATAATCAACCTTTTACTCCCTCTCCTGGTTTAGGTATGCCATTAGGAACTATTACTAAGGAAGAAGCGGCCAAATTACCTTGGATTTGTATGGGGTTTAATATGGATATTGAACACTCGCCTTTTCAAGGTGGCACCTTCCCAGATTGAAGTGTAAAAGACCCTGCCACTGCTTCTGCTCTACGACATGGCGAAGGTGATTTCATTACTTTACTCCTTTGTTTAAGGCAAGTAGAAAGAAAAGATGACTATTCCAATGTCCTCCACAATTTCTTTTGACCTACGAACCTAGAAAGACAAGTCGGCGATAAAACCGAACCAATTAAAGGTTATGAGCGATTAGTTAAAAACACTGAATCAGCCAAAGAAGGAGGAGAAGAGACCAAATTATTAATTACTGGAAAACAAGAAGAGGATGTAAGAAGTAAGAAACTAGGTTTTAATTACTGGCCTTTTAGGAGGTCAGGAGCCCAAAAAGGAGGAGTGCAATTTGGCGTCCCTGGCGTAAGGCAAAAATCTATGATGTTTACCCGTTGAATGCGAACTTATGATAAAGCCTTTGACTTGGATTACACAGGACATTTTATTGGCAAATTAAAAGAAAAAAAATTATTTGGTGGTTTTAAGGCAATGGGAAATGGTAAAATAGCCAATTGAGGCTCAGGCCCCAATCGTTCTATCCTATGAATTACCAACCAATTAAACTATTCAAAAGATAAGCAGGATTGATGAGGAGACGACATTGAAACCATCAACTCCGACAATGGTTTTTCTCACTACCTCATTTTTTCTAACTACTCCACCCAAGAAATTAACGAAAAATTTATCAACCGCAAAACTCCTGCCAACAATGTCAAAACCCTCGCTCAATTAGTCGGTAAACTAAAAGGAACTGTGGTTCGCCTAGGTCCCGACGCCCTAGAACTAATAACCGAACTAACTCCCGACCAAAAAGAACCAGTCAAAAACGAAACTCCCGAAACCAAAAAAAACACCGATGATAATGTTAAACCTAATGACCTCAATGATTTAGGAATAACCCCCGAGGAATATGAAGCCCTAAAAACGGCTTATACTGACCCCGCCATGATTGCTAACATTCTCAAAAAATTAGCCTCTCATAATCCGACCAAAATGGCGGAGATGTTAGATAAAATGTTCGATACCATTCACGAAAAAAGTGCCGAAGCCATGTATAACCAAATGGTCGACCATAACCCAGTTTTTACCGAGCAAGAAAAGGAAGAATTAAAGAAGGTCTACAAGGAAGCCAAAACCAAGGAGCAAAAAAAGAAACTGTGGGAGGAAATAACCTCTAATCGAGAGGCAGAAAAAGCCCGCCAAAAACGAGAAAAAGAGGCCAAAGAAAACGAACAAAAACCATCCGAACAACGCCAACCTGACCCAAGAGATAAAATTGTGGAAGAATGAATTGAAAAAAATCCTCGTTATGGTCCTCCTGGTGTTGACACCGAATAGCGTCGAAAAAGACACGAAGAATGATTAAAAGCCACTCCCAAAGAAAAAGAAAAAATGTTTAAAGAGGAAGGTCAACGCTTTACTGCTGGGGAAAATGCCTCGCAATGAACTAACTATTGACAAAGTGGTGCCAAATATGACGTGGGAGCAGGAGACGAAAGCGTAGGAACTGAAACTGATAATAATTTTAGCGGTCAATTCTCCTTTACCGATAGTCTAAATGCGATTAACAAACTTAAAAATATTGGTTCCATGAAACCTGCGGGAATGGAAGAAGGCATGAAATCCAATAAACCTTATTGAGAAGTAGTTTTTAGCCATCCCCTAACTTACATTTTCTTATTTATTGGGATAATTATTGCGATTATGGCCGCTGCTACTAAAAAAAACAAATAAAAATATTATGGATGGTAAAAATTTTTTTCTTTGACTAACGGGACTTATCCTCTGTATCCTCCCCACCGCGATTGGTAATTGATGACCTTTGCGGATTTATTTGGCGATTACTTTCTTACTGATGATAATTGACTTTGTTATCTTTTATCGTAAAGAGAGAAAAAAAGAAAAAGAGCAAGAACAACAATTAGAATGAGAAAAGAAATTAGAACAAGCCGAAAAGGATTTAGAAAATGGTAAAAAAGAAGTAAATTTAGAGAAAAAGGATGAGGATGAAAGCGAAAAAATAGAATTATAAAAAATTATGTCAGAATCCAAAAATAAATGTAATTGTAATTATCCTAACTGAGTTAAATGAATGATAGTAATTCTTATTATCGCTATTTTTATTATTGTGTGCGTTCAACTCCATTACTTATGAAAATTAAGTGATATTTGACAATCCATTAAAAACAGTAAGTAAAAATTATGGAGTATTTTCTATTAAATAATTCAGTAAAATTATAATATCATGTTAACCGAAGCCGCTATTGGAGCCACTATTGTTAAAGCCCTTAAAGAAGTTGGCAAATGAATTTGAGGTTATGCTAAAAAAACCTTATTAACTTTTTGAGAAAACAAATACATTCTAATTATTGCTGGCACTTGTAGCGGAGTATTTATTTACTATTACAACATGCTTTATAGTTGGTTTGCGTTTCCTCCCCTCCTTAATATTGCCGTGCTTGGTATTTTTGCTCTCATAAATATTAGTTGAGTAGTAAGTTATTGAAAAAGTCCTCCCAGTGATAGCCAAGGTAGTAATCAAGGTCCTAGTGTTAGCACGGGGAATTAAAAATCATGTTTGAGAAATGTATGTTTTGTGAAAGTATGGTTTTTTTTGGTGGTAGTATAGGTGAATATAGTGTTTATTTGAGTTGTTTAATACCTAAAAATTAATTATTATGCTAGCAATCTTTAAATATTGTGGTGAACTCATCACTAAAATAGTGGTCTATTGGCAAGGAATGAGTATTGGAGGTTTTCGTCCTTTTTGATACTTAATTGGAATTGCTTTATTAACTGTGTTTGGTGCTTTTATTAGAGGATTATTGTTTAGTGGCGTTGGTGGTAGTGCGGCGAGTGGTATTGCTGGCAAAGTGAGTGTTAAAACTGGAAATAAGCCCAAAAGTCAATGACAACCTACTGGATGAGAGAAGGTGAAGAAATAAAACTATATTATGAATGAAGTTTATGAAACCAAAACTTGTCCTCTTTGTAAACAATGACATAGTAGCAAAAGCCGTGTTGAAATGTGCTACGAAAAACAAGACAAAAGAATTAAAGATTTAGAGTATGATGTTGATGATTTAAAGAAAGAAATAAAAGAATTAAGCAGAAGACTAAAATAATATTATATAACAAAACAGCAAGAAAATAAACCTTATGGTAATGGAAAATAAGTATCTTGATAAACTTTTTCGGCTGTTGCCTCAAGATTAGTTTTTTGTAAAATCTATTAATGAGATACAAGGATTTATTAAACACTAATGATATCCTTCGTTTGTTAACTAAGCAGTTAAATTTTAATCTAAAACAGGTAGGAAGGAGTGTTTTTTTTCTTTGTCCCTTTCACAGTGATAAAAATCCTAGTTGTAGTTTTGAACCTAATCGAAAAATATTTACCTGCTTTACTTGTGGCTTTAAGGCCAAAGACATATTTAATTTTTGGGCTCAGTATAAGAAAATCAGCCTGGAAGAAGCAGTGGAAGAAATTGGCCAAATGGGCTATTTTTCTCTTTCAATCCTACAAGAGAAGAAAAAGCAGGAACAAAAAGAGAAAAATAAAGTCTTTTATTTACTTTCTCTCATCACTGATATTTACCAACATAACCTATTTACGCAACCAGGTCGGGAAGTATTGAATTATCTTCAAAACGAGCGACAACTGGATAAAAAAACTATTGATTACTTTAACTTAGGGTGTAGTATTAATAATTGACAATTAAGTAATTTGCTTTTTTCTCAGAAAAATGATAACTTTTCTCCTGAAGATTTACTAGCCACTAATCTGGTTTGAATAACCGAAAATAATCGAACTTGTGATTTTTTTCCGGCTCAAAATTTAATCATCCCCTTAACTAATCCAGAGGGAAAATTAGTGGCCTTTGCTGCTCGAAAAATTGGAAAAATACCACCTGGAGAAGGAAAATATAAATATTTGCCTAGTAATCAATACTATCAAAAATCATTTTTGTTATATAATTATCAATCAGCAAAAAAAAGCCGAGCAGAAGAATGTTATTTAGTAGAAGGATTTTTTGACGTCATTAGTTTGAGTAAGTTAGGAATAGAAAATTGTGTGGCTCTGCTAGGAACTAATTTATCGGAAGAACAAATTAAACTTTTAACCGAATTGAAAAAGCGAATTATTCTCTTTTTAGATAGCGACGAAGCCGGACAAGAGGCCACGGTCAATGTAGCCGTAAAATTATTATTACAAGAAATTGACTGCGAAGTGGTAAAAAATGATTACCAGGGCGACCCAGATGAAATTTGCCGTCAACAAGAGAGAGAAAATATTCAGGCCATACTCCAAAACCGAGAAAATCCCTACTCATTTATTCTCAACCACTATTTTGCCAAGTGAGAAGTCAAGGATAATCCGCAAAGAATCAACCACTTTATTAATGAAATAGCAAAGGTTTTTCAAAAATTTAAACCGAATATTTATGATTTCTTAATTGGAAAAATAAACTCCTTAACTGGATGAAAAAAAGAAGAAATTGAACCTCATTTTGTTAAATGAAATTTCCCGACTTTCAATCCTCGCCATCGCCAAACTATTTATGGCTGGGAACTAATTGAAAAAAAAGAAAAAAAAATAATTTATCTCTGTGCTAAGGAGCGAACTTTTTGGCTATTTTCTAGTGAAAGAATTATTTTTTTTTCCACCAAAGTCAATCGGACCAGGTACCATGATATCTATAATTATTATATGTCTTCCTCCTCCAATAATTCTCATTTGGAAAGTTATCCCACTAATGAACTTGACAGCAACCATGACTTGACTTCCGTTCTTTCTTCCCCCCACCCTCAAAAAGAAAAAATTATTAATACAACCATACAAGAACTAGATAACGTTAAGAGATTTTTGTTAAATTTAAATTATTATGAATAAAATCACTCCTCTCACGGCCAAAGAAGAAAGAGAATTACTGAAAGCGGCTAAACCAGTAATAACAATTTTCCTCGCAATCAATAATCTGCAAAAGGAAATTGCCGAAAAGGAAAATAATACAAAAAACAAGCAGATAGCACCAGGAGAGATTGAAAAACTAAAAAGTGAGTTAAAAAAAAAGAAAAAAGAACTAGAAAAAATGGGTGAAGAAAAAGTCGCTAAAGGCAAAAAGGCGATTCGTTTTTTACTTTATTATAACCAACATCTGGTTGAGTATCTTGCTAATGGATATTACTCAGGCGGAAGAAAAGTTGATCGTGAAGAATTGAAAGCCGAGGGAACTTCCTCTTTAATAAAAGCAGTTGAAAAGTTTGATTTAAACAGCAAAAATAAATTTTCTACTTATGCTGGTTATTGAATTAAACAATATATGCAAAGTTTCATTAACAAAAATCAATTTATTAATCAAGGGTCTGGCACGAAAGAAAAAAGCGTGATTTATTATGACAGTAATTATCAAAATGATGACAAGGAAAGCAAATCCTATTCATTAATGGAAACTTTACATGATGATGAAAATGCTGAGTTGACTGCCGAGCAAGTTCGCCATCAAGATACTACCATCCAAATTAACAATTTAATTAACGCCCTAGGGAACCGAGAAGAGATCTTGTTAGTTCGCTTGCTCTCGAAAGTAAAACCTTCTAATTTGCTGGATGTCTATTACCTAGCAACCGAAGAAGAAAAAAAAGAATTAAAAAAAAAGATGAAATTGAGCGATAAATCTAGCCCTGAATTACTCCAAAAACACTCTTGAGAAAAAAAGGAGATTCACAATTTACCCTCGGTTAAAAATTATTTATCACTATTTACTAAAAATTATAAGTTTTCGGAGATAAGCAAAATTCTTGGCAAATCAGAAAATACGGCTCGTCGTTTGAAGCAAGAAGCCTTCAAAAAATTACAAAAATTGGCCAAGGAAAGAAACCTTCACTTTTTGATTAGATAACCAGTAATACAACCATAAACATAAAAAATTAATAATATACAATAATGACGACTATTAATCAATTAGTTAAAAATCCTCGTTCACCAAAGCAAAAAAAGGCCAAATTATTAGCCTTGAAAGCCAACTGAAATTCCCGAAGGAAAAAATATTCCCTTTCCAATAATCCCCAAAAGTCGGGAATATGTAAGAAAATAGGAGTATTAAAACCAAAAAAACCGAATTCGGCCAATCGTGCTTACGCACGGGTCATTCTCAAAAATAAAAAAGAAATTACTGTCTATATTCCTGGTGAAAAACATAATCTTCAAGAATATTCTTCAGTTTTAATTAGCGGCGGTGGAGCCCAAGATTTACCAGGAGTAAAATATCATATTATTCGTGGTCACGCTGATACGGAGGGAGTAAAAGAAAGAAAACAAGGTCGTTCTCTTTACGGGTCTAAGAAAGGAAAAAGTAAATAATAAGTAATTATTGCATTACACTAAAATATTAATATATATATATATATATATATAGCAAAAAAAAACACTATAAAACTTAATTAAAGGAGAAAAAATAAATAATATAAATAAGTTATTAATTAAATCATGTCAGAAAATCAAGTTCAAATTAAAGTAAATAATTTAGAGGAATTACTAGCCAAGGCCAGAGAATATGTTGACTCCCAAGGTGGAGCAGATAAAGTTAAAGTAGGAAACATTTCAAGTAATTCGGGGTATTATACTCATACTAAAAATGGTATGGTTCAAACTAGTAAAGGCACAATTGAATTAGAATTAAAAGGACAAAATGGTTCCTCTGCGGAATTTTTTTTAGAAGTTGAAAGAGAAAAAGGAGAGGTAAGAAAAGTTAGCAAAATTCCGAAAAAGTTTTTCAAAGAACTAAACAAAATTATTCCTGATGCTTGAGTTGAACCTTCGAAAAATAAAATTCCTGATAAAGAAAATAATTTTCAACCTCATAGTTTTAATGTTCATGCTATTCCTTGTTCAAGTATGGAAGAAGTTAAAAAGGGAATAAAGGAGTTTTACCAAAAATACCAGGTCGAAATAAACAAAAACCCGGATTTTGACCAGTGAATAGAAATAACGGAAATGGGGCTTTTTAGCAATTATTTAGAAGTAGGGAAAAATGGAGAAACAATTACTTCTGGTCCACATAACACGGCCACTATTTCTCTAAAAGGAGCCGACCAAAACGAAAATGGAAAAGTTGTTAATGAACGAACAAATCTGGTTTTAAAAGTAAAAGTTTCAGAGGAATGAGGAGATATCACCATTGACTGACCAGAAAAAGAATTAAAAATTTACTGAAATAGTTTAATCAACAAAAGGGAAAGTAAAAATACTTCCCCACTATCTCCTTCTGAAAAAACTGCCGAAAACGAAATAGAACAATTACGCCAAGAAATAAAAGACTTGGAAAAAAATTCTTCTCAAAACGGCAACTCCTCCAAAAAACAAAAAGAGTTAGAAGAGAAGAAAAAAAGACTGAGAGAATTAGAAAAAGAGAAAGAGGGAAATAATGCCACTTCTACTAATAATAATGACAAATTGCTTGTTTACGTAAGTGTGGGAGGAATTATTTTGCTGATCGGTGGATTTTTTTTAGTGCTAGCAGTTCGAAAAAAAAGAAAAAATAAATAGTTTTATCTCTCTTTCTCTAAATTAACTAAGGCAACCATTACCAGGAATTAGCGAAAAATAACTTATATGTCTCAAAAACCTCGTTTTTTTACTGGCATTCAAGCCACTGGCACCCTGACTTTGGGAAATTATTGTGGAGCAATTCAGCCCATTTTAAAAATCCAAGATGATTATGAGGTAATTGTGATGATTGCTGATTTACACGCCTTAACTGTTCCTAAACCTAATTTTGATTACCGAAAAAAATGCTATGAAATTGCTTCTCTGCTTTATGCTTGTGGCTTAAAAGAGGAAAATTGTAAAATATTTATTCAGTCCGAAATTCCTGAACATTTAGAATTAACTTGATTAATAGCCCCTTTTGTTACTGTAAGTGAGTTAAATAATATGATTCAATATAAAGAGAAAAAGAAGGGGCAAGAGACCGGAAATTTAGCCTTGTTATCCTACCCAGTATTAATGGTTAGTGATATTCTCCTCTATGACGCCGATTTAGTTATTGTTGGCCAGGACCAAAAACAACATTTAGAATTAACTAATGACATTACTAGTAAATTCAATAATTTTTGTGCCGCTAAGGTGTTAAAAATTCCCAAATTTTCCATTCCGGCTATTGGAGCCAAAATTATGGGACTGAAAAATCCACAAAAAAAAATGTCGAAAAGTGAAAATGATTATATTGCTTTATTAGACAGTCCCGAAGTCATTAATAAAAAAATTAAAGAGGCCGAAACGGACAGCGAAAATAAAATCTACTATGACCCCACCAAAAAACCAGGCATTTCTAACCTTTTGATTATTTATGCCCTACTAAATAACCAGCAAATAAAAGAAGCAGAAAAAGAACTCCAAAACCTTAACTATCACCAATTTAAATTGAAACTTATTGATTTGCTAAGTGGAAAACTAGAAGTTATCCAAAAAAAATACAGCGATTACCTTTCCAAAGTTGGAGAAATAGTGGAAAAAAATAATAATTATTTAAAAAACTTAGCTGAGAAAAAAGTAAAAATAATCAAGAAGGAATTAAAGATATTGTAAACATTTAAGTAGGCTTAAAAATTAAATTAAAAAACACAACATTAACCAAAAAAACTCTCTATTTTCTGATAATTCTCTTGTCAAGCCGAAATAGTTGATAATAAACTAAATCCTTTTTTTACTTTTAACAAAATTGCTTGGAGATTATTGGCAATAAAATAAATGCCCCAATCTAAACTTCCTTTTCCTCCACAATAAATTTGATAATAAAGAAATAAAAAAAGAACGCTAATACCTGAAATTACTAACTCGGGTAGTTGATAAAGAGCCAACGAAAAATTAATATTGATTATTTTTTGGGAATTGTTGTCTAATGTTTTATTCAAATTTTTCAACTCTCTTAGTTTGCTGTTAGACCGTGGCTCCTCCAATCAAGTTTTTATTTGAAATTTTTCTAGGTTTTGGCAATTACTCTTTTTAGTCAAATTAGTCTTGCGAGACGAACTAAAAAAATAATAAAAAAAAGTAAATCAAGTTAAATTGACTAAAATAAAGATAAACAACAAAGGAACTAACCGTGTCAAATGATAAGAGTTAATTAGAGAATATAAACTAAATACGGTAAAAGAGATATCAACAAATATTTCAAATAAATCAACTGGAACAGTAATAAATTGGCGAGAAAATTCAGGCACAATTTTATTAATGATATATGCTTTTTTGCCAGTTTCTTTTATCATTAAATCCTTGTTTTTAGTAGCATAATTCAGCATTTTTTTCACTAAGTATACATTAACCTTTCTTTCATAATTTTTCTTTCAGTAATCAAGGACTAAGTGGATAATTATTTTCAGAGGAAAATAAAGTAAAAAAAGAATAAGCAAGAGTTTATTTCAATCTACATATATTTTGCTGCCCTCAACTTTTTCGACCAGTTGGTATTTACCGAAAAGATAAAAAAAGTGGCCCCGACCCTGGTTACGAGATAAATTATTAACTAAATTAAAATGAACAAGAAAAGTTATATAACTAATCAAAAGAACGAGAAGAAAAAGGAACAAAAACTTTCACTTAAATTTTTTGAAAAGAGATTTTAATAACTTCCCCCAAGACACAGTAAATTATCTCCTTTTTCGAGGTTTGACTTTTTCCTTCTCTTTTTTGTGATGTAATCTTTGAATAAATCTCTTTTCCCGAACAACATGAATGGTCACTTCACCTGGAATAACAATGTCTTTTTTAATTTTTTCCCTAATTTTTCGGGCCACCTCTCAGGTTTTATGGTCGTTTAATTTTTCCGCATCGACAAATACTCACACCTCTCGTCCGGCTTGGAAAGCATAACTTTTCTTGACACCGGGAAACTTATTAGCAATATTTTCTAAACTATTCATCCTTTCTATATAAGCTTCTGACTGGTAGCCACGGGCACCAGGACGGGCTGCTGACAATTTATCAGCCGCCAAAATAATTAAAGAATAAAGATTATTGGGAGGAAAATCCCGATGATGAGAAGCAATGGCATTAATAACTATTTCAGATTCCTGACACTTTTTGGCTAAACTAATCCCACTCAGAACATGGGAATAATTTCCATTATCTTCCACCGCTTTGCCAATATCATGGAATAGACCAACTCGTCGGGCTAAAAGAACATCTAAATCTAATTCAGCCGCAATACTTCCTGCTAACTTGGCTACTTCCAGGCAATGTTCAAGAACATTTTGCCCATAACTTGTGCGAAATTTTAGTCTTCCTAAATGTTTAACTAATTCGGGGTGGACATTACTTAACTCCAACTCCCTCAAAACCTCCGTCCCAGTTTTTATAATCAATTCATTAACTTCTGAACTTATTTTTTGATAAGTTTTTTCAATATGTAGGGGGGAAAACTTGGCCTCTTTAATTAAAGTATGGAGAGTTTGTAAACCTACGGCTCTCCGCAAAGAGTTAAAAGAAGAAATCTGAACACTCAGCTCATCACTTTCCCGATCAATAATTAATTCAGTGCCGGTAACTCGTTGAAAGGCATTAATATTTCGTCCTTCTTTCCCAATTATTTTGCTAATTATTTGGGGACTTTCTACCCATAAAGTATCAGTTGTTTTGGTAAAAACTAATTCTGAACTACACTTTTCGAGGGCCACACAAATCACCTTAGCACTTTCCTCCTTCGCTACTTTTTCAGTCTGTTTAATTCTTTCTTCTTTGTATCGCTCCAATTCTTGGTCAACTTCTTCTCTTAAGAGAGATAAGAGATTTTTTTTGGCTTCTTCTTTGCTCATTGGAATCGCTTTTTCTAATTTGTCCATTACCCATCTTTTTGTTTCATTAACTTTTTCCATCTCGGCTTGGATACTCTTTTCCTTTTGAGAACTTACCGCTAGTTGCTGAGTAAACAATTCCTCTTTACGGAATAATTGATTAGCAAACTCGCTTATTCTTTTTTCTTCCTGTTGTATTTTTCTCTCCTTTTCTCCAATTTTTTCTCACTCAATAGTTATTTTTTTGTTGGCATTCTCCAATCTCTTTTCTCTAATTTTTAGTTTACTTTCTTGCTTTTTTTGGTCATGAAATAGTCTTTTTAACTCTAATCTGCCCCAATGAACTCTTTTGAGGTAACTGAAAAATGTTAAAATTAATATAATAAGAAAGAAGGTAAGAAAAAAGAATAAATATCCATAACCTTCTCTTAGTCATTGAGAAAAATCCATATGAAAAAACAAGAATTAAAAAAATTGTTAAGTAAAAAAAATAAACCGTTAGCCGGAAATAATCGTTCTTTTTCGATGCGATCCACTCGAAGAAAGTTTGCCACCAATCGGCAAAAGTTTTGCATTGGGGATAAAACTTATTATATCCCGACGAAACTATTCCGTACCTACTGAACAAAACTAAAAAGTTAAAGAGAAGTTTCTACTTCCAAATGGGCAGTGTTAGGAACTTTTAACTTTTCAAGGGATTCTAATTCAGTTGGAGAAATCTTATTAAGGTGAATTACTCGCCGGTGAATTTCTCGAGTAAATTGCTCTTGCGAATCCTTATGTTTATGAGGAGAAATAGGCACTGAACGGAGTATTCTTTTGGTTGGAAAAGGCATTGGACCACTAAATTTTAATTTGAGTTGAGAAAGTTTTTCACTAACCAATCGCGTGGCTTCTTCGGTAGTTGCCACATCATAACCATAAACAGTAATTTTTATTTGACCATTATTTTTTTCTGTCATTATAAATCTAAATTAAGATATATTAATATTTTAAGTTTTTTCTTCCTAACAGTAACTTAAAATTGTGATTAAACAATGTTGATCCATAATAAATTCTTTCTAGAATCAGATTAATAACCAAAATGAATTTTACTGAATTTTTAAATCTTTTAAAACTACTTTATAATGCAGCAAAATAATCCTTATTTACTTAAAGAACAATTATGAAAGATTTTAAGTAATAATCGTGGTCAATTAGATACTTCCTTTTATAAAGATATTGCTCTGTCAAGTTTTTTTCTTTTCGCAGCCAATAAAAAATTTGAATTAGAATTGGAGAAAGAAATTAAGAAAAATCCTTTTCTAGAAAAGAATAAAATTCGAGAAGAACCAGAGTTTTTTACCATTTGAATTCCCCCAGGGGCACGTCTTCCTAGTTTAAAAGAGCATCTTAACAATGACTTTAAAAATACAGTTAGTGCTGCTTTATCAGCCATCGAGGAGGCTAATTCTTACTGGCTAAAAGGAGCCAGTTTTGCTAACATTTTTACTAACCCTGACCTTAATAATCAGTTACTAATTAATGTTTTTCAAGAATTAGATAAATTGAATTGAGATTTTGATAACTATAACGGGGATTTTTTTGGAGAGGCTTATCAGTTTTTAGTTAGCAGTTTTGCTAGCAGTTTAGGTAAAAAAGGTGGAGAATTTTACACTCCTCAATCAGTAGTAGAATTACTTAGTCGAACTAATTAAGCCTTTAAACGGAATAGTTTATGACCCTTGCTGTGGAACTGGCGGCATGTTCGTTCAATCAATTAAGTTCATGAAAGCCCATTCTGACAAAGATAATAGAGAACATGATATTCAAGTTTTCGGTCAAGAAATTAACGTTTATACTTGAAGATTAGCCAAAATTAATTTAGCCTTGCGAGGGATACCAGCTAATTTAGGAGAAGCTGCCGACACTTTTCGCCACGACCAGCATCCTGCTTTACAGGCTGATTATTTTTTAGCCAATCCACCTTTTAATCAAAGAACTTTTTATCTCGATAAAAAAGACCCTCGCTATTCGGAGTTAGGCATTCCGCCTAAAAAATACGGAGCCAATTTGGCTTGAATAGAAGTTATGGTTAGCAAATTAAATAGATTAAAATCTAATGGAGTAGGAGCAGTAATTATGGTTAGCAATATTCTTTTTAATAATGCTCGGCAAGCCAGCGAAATTCGCTGTAAATTATTAGAAAATAATCTTTTAGAAGCAGTTATTTCCTTGCCAACAAAATTATTTTTTGAAGTTAACATTGATATCTGCGTTCTTATCCTGAGGAAAGGAAGAAAAGAGGAAAATGTTCTCTTCCTAGATGCTCGCAATTTATTTGTTAAGCAAGATGCTAATTTAAATAAACTTTCTCCTGAAAATATTAAGGAAATCATTAATGTTTATGAGGAATTTCGCAAAAATCAAAAGTCAAATCATCCTAACGCCTTAGTCCTAAACTCTCAAGAAATCCAAAATGATAATAAGTATTGCATTTTGTTACCCAAAAGATTTTTAACTAATAAGGAAATTTCTTTGGTTAAAATTGAAGAATTAGCCCAGCAAATTAAAGTTTTGTTTAAAGAGATTGAAAAACTTAACCAAGAATTAACTATAATTTACAACAATTTAACTGAAATTACCAAATCTGTTTTAAATCAAAAAAACACAGAAAATATACCTTTTGATTTATTAACTACTATTCCTAACTTTAATATTTTTTCTCCTAGTGCTTATTCTCAAATATTATCTAATATCTTTTTCTCAGCAGACTTATTTTTTAAACAAAGTTGTGACACAGAAATTGTAATTAAAGATTACTTTAACGTGATTGGTGGGGCTACTCCTTCAACTAAAATCCCAGAATATTATCAAAATGGCACAATTAAATTTCTCACTCAGGGCAGATTGTTAGATATCTATTATCTCAACGACGAAATAATTCCTGATAGTTTAATCACTGAAAAAGCAAAAGAGAACGCAAAACTACAACTTACTCAAAAGAACACAGTAATAATGGCTTCAATGGCAGGAGATAAAAATTTTCGGCGACGGATAGTCTGATGCCAAAGTGACAATTATACCTATAATCAGCAAGTTTATCATTTTGTAAGCAAAGATAAAATTAATTCTGAAATAATTTCGGCTACCTTGTATTTCTCTTTACGAAATCGGGCTAGTAAATTAACCTCCATGGTGGTCGGTTCGCGTGGAGAAGCAGGGATAATTAATATTAAAGAAATTAGCAATTTATCAATTCCTTGAGTATCTAACCCCCAAATCCAAGAAAAATTATTTAATCTCTTAAACAATGATTTAGCGAAATTAATAAAAGAAAAACAAGAATTAATAAAAGAAAAACTCCTCCAAACTGGAACTAGAAGAAACCATGTGAAAAAGTAAAGAAAAAGATTGAGAAAATCACTTATCCAAAAAACTACGAGAATTAGGTTGGCAACAAATACCTACTATCACTCGGGGAAATTACAGCGAAATTATTGATAAAGAAACATTAGCCAAACAATTACAGTTAATTAATCCCCAACTAAAAACCGAGCAGCGAGAAAAAATAATTAAGGAAGTTGTTAATATTCCCAACTTTTTTTTTAATATTGAGACTGCTAACTACAATTTTCACTATAAACTAAATAAAGGTATTGAAATTTTTGACCCCGAAACACAAACTTATCAAAAATTCACTTTAATTAGTAAGAACTATTCCCAAAATAATTATTCTTTTATTCAACAATTTGAAGTAGAAAATCCTACTAACAAAAAACGAATCAGATTGGACTTAATACTTTTTATTAATGGTCTTCCAGTATCGATTATTGAAGTAAAAAACTGAACTGATGAAAATAGTTCCTTGGAAGAAAAGCAAATACAGTCTTTCGACCAATTGAAAAGATACGAGAAAACTGTTCCTCACCTGTTTTCTTATCTCAATTTTGTAGCCTTTTCTATTACTCCAGAAATTTTTTATTATGGAGTTAGCGGTGAAAGTTACCAAGAAGACAGTTATTTTTTATGGCATGATAGAGAAGAAAATTATCTTTTTGAAAGCCATAATTTCCTTAATATTCTACTTAACTTTACTTTATATGATGAGAGAAAAAGAAAAATTATTATTCGCTATTACCAATTAGCAACTATTAAAAAAATAAATTTTCAAAGCGAAAAAGGGGTCGCTATTGAAAAAAAAGCAGGCGTTGTTAAACACGCGACGGGAACAGGTAAATCTTATCTTACCATTTTTTTAATCAATTATTTTCGCCAGCACTTAACTGACTATTCCTTTTTATTAGTAGTTGACCGCAAGAACCTTAATAAACAATTTTTAGATAAATTTACTAACTTTGCTTCTTTTGCTGAGTTTAATTTAGAAATGATTGAAAATTCTCAACAATTATTAACGACTATCACTAAATCGGCAATAAGCAAGTCCATTTATTTTACTACTATTCAAAAGTTCCAAACTGCTAAAAATCAACTTTCCTCCGACAAAAAGTTTATTGTCATTGTGGATGAGGCTCATCGCTCTAATTACGGAGAATTTGCTCAAACTATGCGTAATTTATTATCCAAAGCAGTATTTTTGGGGTTGACTGGAACTCCTATCGACAAATTGGAAAAATCCACCCTTAATGTTTTTGGTGATGTTGTTTATTTTTATTCTACCAATCAATCAATTAGGGATGGATTTAATGTTCCTCTCATCTACAAATTAATTAAAAAATATGCTCTTTTGGAAGAAACTTCTCTGAAAAAAAAGTATCAAGAAATTATTCAAGTCAATCAAGATGAGGAAGAAGTAAAAAAAATTCTAAATGAAGCAATAAATTTAGAGACTTTATTATTTCATCCGCAAAGAATTGATTGAATAATAGCAAAATTTTTTCAAATTTACCAAGAAATAAGTGAAGAAAGTTCAGAAGTTGCCAAGGTAATGTTTATTGCTTATTCAAGAAAATTGGCTATTGATATCTACAAAAGAATAAAACAAGTTAATTCCTCTGTGGTTTTAATTATTTCTCCTCAGCCGAACGATGAAGAAGAGATTAAAGAAATGTTAATAAAAAGAGAAGAAAATATTGAAATTTTTCGTAAAGAAAATGACAATACTTATCAAATTGCAATAGTGGTTGATATGCTATGTACAGGCTTTGATATGCCTTGTTTAAAAGCGATCTTTCTAGATACAGTGAAAAGTGAAGAACATGATATTTTTCAAACTATTACTCGCGTTAACCGAGTATTCTGAGATAAGAGATATGGACTAGTAGTTGATTTTTTGGGAATTACCCATAATGTCTTGAAAGCGGTGAAAAAGTATGAGGCCGAGGAAGCTGTATTTTATGAGTGAAAAATTCAAGAAGATATTCATGAGAAAATAGAAAAATTACGGACCATTTACCAAGAATTAAACCCTCATCTTAATTCTCTTTTAGAAAAAAACGAACAAGCAGGAATTTTGCTGATAAAAATTATCGAACAGCTGATTAATAATAAAAAACATTTAAATAATTTTCTAATGATTTGTCAAGAATTAGAAAAATATAAATTCTTTTGAAAAACCGAAGAGGAGTTAAATGATAGACAAAAAATGTTTCTTCAAAATTCTCTCGAAATAGCCCAAATAGTTAGAGAAAAGGAGAAAATAAAAGACAATTTCTCAAGAGCAAGAAGAAAAAATTTCGACAAGTCAGCAAATATTCAAAAAAAAATCTGGGAGTTTATTCAAATAAAGTCAGACAATTCTCATGAAGGCAAGGAGGAACTAACTTTACAACTACTAGGCAGCAGCATTGAGGAGATTAATAATATAAAAAGAAAATGAGAAGCTGAAAAGATAAGTCGAGAAATAAGAAAAAAAATGAACTTGCTGAATAGTTGAGATTATGAAGAATTTGCCCAAAAACTAACTAAATTGATAAACCAATATAATAATTTAAAGACATCAGAATATATTAAAAATCTTATT